TGTATGATTATACAGTTATTCGAAATTAATATGGTATTTTTGAATGAATTATAGTCTCTATGTACATCTTCATTGAATGCTGAAATATTAATTGAGTAGTATATTTTTTGTATTGGCTATTTTATGACTTAACATTATTCAATGACTAAAATTTATTATATGCTTTAATTAGTTACCTATGATCAAAGAAAATTAGACATTAACACCATCGGATGGCGGCTCAGTGGTCTAGCGGTTGAGCGCTTTGGTGCTAGACTGATAGATCCTGGATTGAAATCTTACGAGATGGGATCGTGAATGCGCACTGTTCAAGAATCCTACAATAGGACAAAACGGCCATCCAGTGTTTCCAGGTTTTTCATGGTGATCTAGCTTCAATTGATTCATGATTTTAATTATAAAAAAAAATACTGAAATCTCCACAAATCCCCCATTCTGATAAAAATTGAATATTGAATGAAAATTTCATGAAATACTATGAAAATATTCATAAAAAAACGAAGAAGTAAATGAAGTACAGAATAAGTAGAATTCTATGAGAATAAAAAAGGCGCGAAAATTGAAATCTATTATTGTTTTCTCTTTCATTCATTAAAAGAAAATCAATAAAAATAAGATAATAAATAATAAAAATCTGAAAAAAATAAATATTCTTAGGAAGTTAATTAATCCATATAGTACTTAACTTTATACTACTTATATTACTTAATCTTTTGAGGCAGGATCATAGATGTGCACTGCTGAGGAGTCTCACAATAGGATGAAACAGTCGTTCGATGCTTTCAGGTTTTTTATGGTGGTCTAACTTCAAACGACTCATGATCTCAACTATTAAGATTGATTTTATATATGAAGATAATTTTTAATATGTACTAACACTTACTTACTTACGCCTGTTACTCCTAATGGAGCATAGGCTGACGACCAACTTTCTCCAACCCACTGTGTCCTCCTCCTTCCTTTCTAGTTCTATCCATTTTTTCTTCATTCTTCTCATATTTGTCTCTATTTCTCGGCGTAATGTGCTCTTTCATCTTCCTCTTCTTCTTTGGCCTTAAGGATTCCATGCCTTTTGACGCAGTTGGATGATTTCTTCAATGTATGTCCTATCCACACTTATGTAGAATATAATTAAAAATACACCTTTTTTCCTTGTTTATTTTGTCTTGATTAAGTACTTCTATGAAGTACACACATATGGAACTTATTTTTCAAACTTTTTTTGGCGAAGAACTTATCATCGTCAGTTTATTCAAAAAAAACTTTAAAGCAAAGTAATCTACTCAGTTTTAATTTAATGTAGAGGCCGTTTAGCATAAAATTCCCTTTTAACATTTGCTTATTGTGTATAATCTGTCAAAAAGAACTGACCAGTATATGTTATTGTATACATGCATGTAAAACATGTTTATTTATGCTTAGTTACTTATTTATTTACTGGTTAGCGTTTTCCTAGCGAGTTAGTTTTCTAAGGGATAGGGTCGCTAACCCCATGCCCAACCCTCCTCCTTTATCCGGGTTTAGGACCGGCAGTAGGCTACGGAGGAGCTACAGGCAGATTTTCATCTATCCTACCGTGTATTGTTTTAATAGTAGTTGTATTTTAATGCACAAATAAAGTTATTTTAATTTTGAATGAAAATGAATAAAAAAAAAGAAAGAAAGAATGATATTCAGACATTAAAAACAACTGGTTTTTTTTTACTTGAAATACATAACATCAAGACATTTACTATGCAGATATGGCACTGAGTTAATTTTACTGTTAAAAACTACTTATTAGAGATATAAGTAGAAACAAAAATGTTAAAAGAACAAACAAACGAACAAGGAAAATATTTGTACATATATAAGTCAATAAGTGGTAGACATTACTTTTTAAATTTTTGAAATGTCAATGATAAGATTTTGGTTTTTCACAATGTATTAAAACAAAACGATTCACTTTAAAAATTGAATAAGAAAACAAACTGGAAGTCAATTTAAATTTATGATAGTTTATAGTTCACTGTATGGATTGCCTTTAGTTGGATAATCGTTGGTAATCAGGAAACATTGGACAGTTACATCGTCCTAGTATGAAACTCTTTAGTAGTGTTCATTGATTACTACTATTGAAGGTCGAATCCAGGATCTTCAATGCCCAAAGCAAATTCTTAACCTTCAAACAACTAAATCGGGAAATTGTATAGATTGCCCTTAGTTGGAAAATCATTGCAAATCAGAAAACATTGGACAGTTAAATCGGCCTACTATGAAACTCTTTAGTAGTACTCATTGACTACTACTATTGAGGGCCAAATCCAGGACCTTCAATATCCAATACAAGTTTCTAAGCTTTAAACAACTGAATTGGGATTCAGTGGTCTACACTTTTAACCTCTTAATTTGTGACGCTACTCAACCATTTCTCAATGTCATTGGTGAGTAACTATTTCACACAGTCTTTTTGAACTTCATGGATTACAGCTTCGGATTAGAATTTAGTGTATCATCTCTAACGATCAGTCGCTATCGAGTACATAATTCTTATTTGTATACGAATGTCGTAGTCACTAGAAAATGATTGATTATTTCATTTATGGATCTGTTGAAATCTCAGTATGTATTCGTCTTTAGTAATTGTCAACTTTAGACAAGAGAAGGGGCAATCGTTGAAATAGTATTTAGAATAAAGTGTTTGACTTATAACTGATTACTTTAGGAAACAAATATTCTTGTATGTTAGGAATCAGGCTATATACTCTAGCTAAATCGATTCGCATTAATGATCGTTAGAATTCGCGGGAAGAACGCTTACTTATCCACCGATGTCGAAGATACGGTGAACTCTCGTTTTCATGTTAGTTGTGTGACAGACGGCTATGTCCACCGGCTACGGTTGCCGTTAGTGCATGCTGGTGGAAGGTTTTTCTTGTTGAACAGTTTGGAGATTGAGAAACTGCAGGGTTTCCTGCAATTTCTGGAAGACTTACAATGTTTATTGGGATACCAGCACCAATTACGATTATCTGTTTATCATGTTTCAGAGATAGATCTTTATCGTGATGGGCTTTTTCTAAGATTTTGGGGGCGTCTACGATTGTGATGAATGTTAAGATAACAACTGGGAGTATGACAGAGATCTGTAACTCCATGCTGTATCGTTTGAGGCTTTCTTTTGACAGAATAACCTCAGTGTTGGGGATTCTGGTGACATATTTAAATTTCACTGATCATTCCTTTTACTAAGATTTCTGGGATAAATTCTCCAAATCAATCGCCGGTTAAGCTATGCTGACGAGTTCTATACGAGGATGGACTGATTATCCAGTGCTTCTGAGCCTTTAACAGCTCTCTTATCAAAGTCATTAAGTGAGATAAACAGTAAAACAAGTTTTACATTTTCAGGAGTTTTAAATACACCACACTGTCGATGAATGAATGAAATATGGCGTAGAATTCTAACTAGCTTTTCACTCTATTGTAACAAACGAAATGTAAATGTGGCCTGATACTTCAATTAGAATGTTTCAATATTCTTTTAATGAAGTAAAATAAAGTTTTTTTGTTTTAATTAGACAGAAATGGTTTAACTAGAAAATAAAAAAAAGACTGAAATCGAAACTAAACTAATACATGCAATATGTGACTGGCATTTTTTTTGGTTTCAACAATAAATATATAAGAAACTTTATGGTTGAAATCAAGAGTCAATTGAAGCTAGACTATCATGGAAAACCTGGAAGCACTGGACGATGGTTTCGAACTAATTTGGGACTCCTCTGTGGTGCGCATCCACGACCCAGACTCACGAGATTCGAACCCACGACCTATCGATCTCGCGCGAGCAATTAACCTCTAGACCACTAAGCCGGCCGGCATCCAATGGTGTTAATGTCTAACATCAACAAATACACGAAACTGAGCTACCGTCCTGGTATTCTAGTGAGAAGCAGTAACCAGTGGAGTTCAACTGGATCTGTTCTGAGATAGTAACTCACTGAAGACAATAGTGGATATGTCGCACAGTTTCGTGGATTAGTTGAAGTTAGACAGGTCCTGGGTTCGAATCTAGCGAGTCGGAATCATGGATGAACACTTCTGAGGAGTCCCACGATAGGACGAAACGGCTGTCCAGTTGATCCAGGTTTCCATGACGATCTAGCTTCAAGTGATTCATGATCTCAACTATTAAAATTAATGTTTATTATTAGTGTGATTCGTTTTAATGAATGAATAATGAAAAGAAAATTTTATAAATATTCGTCATTTTGTATTAAGTTGTAGTAAAACTTTATAAACATTATTGTTTTATTTACATGCACAGAATAGAAACAATGAACATGTCATGCTTTGAAGTTTCTGATTGACTGATTTAGAAAATTATGTGTTATGATTAGATAGTTTTGTTCTTAGAATATTCATAGTATATTGTTCCAGCGCTTCTTCCTGATTTCTTCCTCCACTGGACGGAATCTTGTTCGTCCTCTCGCACAGTAGGTTGTTGGTGATAGTGTCTGGCCTCACATTTTTTATTAATATGGTAGTGTCAGGTTTAGTGACTTATAATAAATGATATCATTGATGTGCAGCTGTTAACTGACTTATTTACTGTTGTTTCATAGAACAATAACCCAACTGTAACTATGCGATCAAAAAAGACTTCGTTAAATAATATCACATTGAATATCGTACATGATAATACTATCAAACTTACATATTTTTGCATATTCAGAGTGAAAGTTACATCCCCAATTTGTTTTAAATAAGTCAGACATTAACACCGTTGGATGCCGGCCCAGTGGTCTATCGGTTAAGTGACTTGGCACAAGACTGGAAGGTCCTGGTTTCGAATCTCGCAAGTCGGGATTGTGAATGCGCACTTCTGAGGAGTCCCACAGTAAGACGAAACGGCCATCTAGTGCTTCCAAGTTTTCCATGATGGTCTAGCTTCAATTGATTTATGATTTCAATTATTGAATAATCTTGTCTATTTTTTTTCAAATTCCATTCTATAGCATCCGATTGTTTTGCTTATATGCGTAAAGGTAGTGAAATGATTAAACTTCATACTAGTGGACGTCAATATAAACGTATGTTTTATTTAAATGAACAAATGAATTGTATTAAATGGTCTTCAACAAATAAACGTCAATCAAATTCACAAAGTAAGTAAATTTTTAACTTAAAACTAATTTCAATATGATTTATAATATTTTGTGACACAGCTATCTGACTGCAGTTTGATCGTACTTACTGAGTTACTTACGCTTGTTACCCGTCTTCGAGTAGTATAGGCCGCAAACCAATATTCTCCATCCAACTATGTTTTGGGCAATCCTTTCCAGTTCTTTCCAGTTAACATTCATCCTTTTCATATCTGCTTCAATCTCCCGGCGTAATGTGTTCTTTGGCCTTCCTCTTTGCCGCTTCCCCTCAGGATTCCAGATTAGCGATTGCCTCGTGATGATTTCTTCAATGTACGAAGATGTTAAATTTTCCATTTAATTCCGTATATTATCTAAGTTAACCCTCTTTGTGTGGAGGCGGTAATGAGAAACAATATATGGGTTGTGTTAGAGGGATTTATCTAGACAGACAATGGGAACGAGAAGTGGAGATGGAGAGCGTGTCAACTCATTTTGATCAAATGACATGGTATTTACAGTCAAACAAAAATAAACTACGGACATATAATCTGTAGGATAAGCATGTGCACACATATACACCCATATGAAAACGTTGAAGGTTAATAAGCAAATAAATGACAAGGTCAAAATTTGACTTGAAAAGAATGAATAAATCGCTCTGTCCAGAAGCTAGAATAACCCATATGGGCTTGACACAATATCGGTCATTGCAATATAATTAACTTGTTTCAGAATGGTAAACATTTTTTGAATGCCATTCATAAAGTATTTGCTTCAATTTTAATAAAACAAAACAAAAACCGTGTAACTATATGATAAACTTTCTGACTGAACGCTTGAATTGGTTTCCTAAGCTCCTCTAAGATCCCCAGACTAAATCTACACGACATTTTTGAAAACGAAAGAAAAGGTGTGAAGTATCAAAAAAGGCTTTACTACAAGGTTAGTTCATGTACAGAAAACCGAAGGGTATTTATGGAATTTCAGACGGTCTTGGATTTCTGGAAAGTTCTGGGGTCCTACTCGATATAGTAGCAGGATAGACAATCATACAAACAAAAACGTGACATGTGACTCTTTACTTTCTAGATGTTTCTGAAAAATGTCTATTGAATGCTGATTAAATAAAATGTTAACCAGCGTTTTAAGTGCTCCTTTGGGGTTTTTTCAAGAAGTTTTCTGGATCTCCCCAACACTACATTTGATCATTTTAGAATTTATTCTTAAAAATTTCATTAAAATTTCAAAATCATTATAATTCATAGTTGAAATCATGAATCAATTGAAGCTAGACCATCATGGAAAACATGGAAGCACTGGATAGCCGTTTCGTCCTATTGTGGGACTCCTCGAAAGTGCGCATCCACGATCCCGCCTCGCGAGATTCGAAACCAGCTCTGTGGTCTATCGGTTAAGTGCTCTGGCGCGAGACTGGTAGGTCCTGGGTTCGAATCTCGCGAGGCGGGATCGTAGATGCGCACTACTGAGGAGTCCCACAATAGGACGAAACAACCATCCAGTTCTTCTAAGTTTTTCATGGTGATCTAGCTTCAACCGACTCATGATCTCAACTATTAAAATTACTATAATACCCACAAAACCTCTTCTTAGAATTGTTTTAACTTAAAAGTAATATTAGAATTAATTTTGTGATTCACAAAAATTGATACTCCAATCTTAAAAAAAGTTTATTTTAGTATCTAAACTAAGGTCTCATATTTCTTGACAATAAAATTTCAAGTTATACTCCTAAATCATTCACATGTCACCGTGTTAAGATATTTTCTCTATGAAAATGATGGGCAGACTCAGAAATGAAAGATAGTTGTAAATATGGGCTTGTGTAGAATGATGAATTATATTAAAATCGCAAAACAATGTGAGATAACCATTGAAAACGTAGAAGCACTAGACGAACATTTTGCCGTATTGTAGAACTCTTCGGCAAAGTGCATTCACGATCATTGATTAATTCTTTACCCCATGGTCTCGGGAACGAATACTTAACCTCTAGACTACTGAGCTGGAATGCAACGATATTAATGTCTAACGTCAACAAATTCATAAATGCAGTATTATTTTTTAAGCATTAAGTTTATCAAAGGTGTTGGGTAGTTTAAAAAAAATTTGACAAATTGAAGATCTCTAAGTTGTGTGATTGCTTGTTACTTACTTACGTACGCCTGTTACCCCTCGTCGAGGAGCATAGGCCGCTCACCAGCATTCTCCATCCAACCCTGTTCTGGGCAATTCTTTCCAGTTCTTTCCAGTTAACATTCATCCTTTTCATATCTGCTTCTATTTCCCAACGTAATGTGTTCTTTGGCCTTCCTCTATTCCGCTTCCCTTCCGGATTCCAAGTTAGGGATTGCCTTGTAATGCACATTGGTGATTTCCTTAGTGTATATTCTATCCACTTCCAACGTCGTTTCTTAATTTCCTCTTCAGTTGGAAGCTAGTTTGTCCCCTCCCATAAACTTGCTTGTACTAATCAATAAAATTTTCAAAACTGATAGGCTGTGACCTAATTAAATAACAAACTGTAGTTCGACCTATGATGACAGTTCTTGTTATTAATTGACGTTCTCATTAATAATCGGTTAAGAAATTATCAGTACTGCAAAGTTGTTCTTTATTCCTTTGGGACTTTTACAACAGATGATAATAAAAGCAAGTTTATTAATTCTTGATTTTCAATCGTTTTGTAAAGTGATTTTAGTAATAAAAACCATTTTCTATGATTGAACAACTCTCCAATCAATCAAATTAACATCTATCATTGACGAATACAACTTACAATTTAGACTTATTTCTAGGAAACCTTTCAAACAAACAAGAATAGTCAGCTCATCAGTAACTTGATGATTTTCTTGAACTTCTAGTGATTATTCGTCGTTGGTGGAGTTTATATGTACCAGTAGTGAGACAGTTGTTTGTTACTTTTACGTTAATAGATGAAAAGTTCCAATCATCAACAACATTTACTAGATTACCTAACAGTAAAGTCCTAAACGATTACAGTGACTGACGTATAAACTGATTTCTTGCAATCGACTATTACAATTTAACATAAGATGATGGTTGGAGGTGGTCAACAGGAAACCCTGGACACGGGCTTCGTGCTACTTGGCACTCGTCAGCAAGGTGTATCTGTAATCTTGAGGGAACGGGTGCTCTCTGACGGATTCGATCCCGTGTCACTCAGCTTGCTTCACAGTCAGAGACTTGACCACTGAGCAACTCGGGCCGTGACCGACCTCCTGTAGTACTGAGGCTGAATAGCTCAGTGGTAACGCCTCTGACTGTGAAGCAAGCTGAGTGACACGGGATCGAATCCGTCAGAGAGCACCAGTTCCCTCAAGATTACAGGTGTACCTTGCTGACGAGTGCCAAATAGCACGAAACCCGTGTCCAGGTTTTCCTGTTGACCACCTCCAACCACCATCTTATCTCAACATAGTGCACGCAGTTTCGAACCACCTAGACTAGTGGCCACATTGCAACTTGATCTATCGCATTCGATCAGCACTAAGAAGGACTTGAAACGCATAACATTGATCACCACCCAGTGATCAATCAATTGTGATTACAATTTAACATATTTCTAGCAGATCATTCTATTAGTTAATAAACTTTTTCTTCTAGCTAATGGCTTTGTCTCTGATTAATTCGAAAGTTCACATTAATAATACAGTCTCATGAGCAGCCATCCCTCGCTCTCCGTTCATATCGTTGCTTATCGTCTCTCAATCAGCATTCATTTTATCAATCGAAAATATTGACCTTAAAACTACTAATTATGTATTCAATTGCTTTGTTCAGTTTTGTATCTCGGTGATAACTCTGATAAAAGTTTTGATTAGCATGACAACAAGTGACGCATTACCAAGTGTTTATTTATTTCTCTCAATCTGTATATTAACTGACATGTTCAATGTATGCCAATCAACCAATGTAGTTGACTTAATGTAGATCATAATATAAGGCTATTGATGTTTGCTGGTTTTTAGTGAGAATATATACACTGAATAACCAAATATCTTTATGTATAATAATCTGAAGATATCTAAAATCAAATTGACTAACACTATGAACAATATTGACTATCTTAACCTATCTGCGTAGCAATCACTTTATGACAAGCCTATGTGATATTTCCTGACCTTTGAAAAGACGAATTATTCTAATGTTTCCATTTATTTTGTAATCCATATATTTGCTCCTGTCAATTATTCACATGTAAACTTGGTCATAACTTTGCCTGAAGCCTTTGTAGTCGTTACTTGGAGAAGACTATAGAATCTTCTCATGTAGAAAATATAAATATACTAACGTATCTCTTATTGGTTCCTTATTTCCATCTACCCTTGTTATTCAAAATATAATGTTGTTCCTGTTAAACCGTGTTTTAATTTGGAGATTTGTCTAGTGAATTAGTGTCCAAGATTACTAAGCAACAGGATTAGCCGGGTCGTAATAAGAGAAATTATAACAGTGCCAAATATATAATATTAAATAAAGCTCCTAACAATAATTATAGTGAATATATGATCATACAAAATTTTCAGAATATCTCACACATTGATTTTCGTCTACATTTAATGTCAGATTGATAACATTAATGAAAAAGACCTTATGTTGATTTTACATGGTCAGGAATAGTCGACAGAAAACTGTATTCTCACACCGACCGGTTTTACAGTCTGAGATATTACCACTGAAGTGCTCGGGCAACAACTGATATCCATGTGATTTCATCCTAATGTGGAACTGATAGGTTCCGGGTTCGAATCTCGCGAGACAGGATTGTGGATGCGCACTTCTGAGGAGTCCCACAATGGGACGAAACGGCCGTCCAGTGCTTCCAGGTTTTCCATGGTGATCTAGCTTGATTTCAACTATAAAAATATCTAATAATCATGTTATTCACAACACCTCACTTACAAACTACCATAAAATCTTCATATAGTAAAACAATTTCTATTTTCGCATTTCTAAGTACCTTTTCATTCAATTGAATATCAATTAAGATTTACTGATTTTCTGTATTTCTAAACAGTGCACAAGGCAACATTCCATAATCCGTTGTAACATGTGTAATCAACAGTCACAAAAAGGCAGGGCAGATCTGAAAACATAGCACACAACTTTAATCGAGAACTTCACACTAAGAGAGAACACGAAGTGGAAGTCACGAGTCTATTATTTTCAAAATCAAAATTGGCGGGGGGAAAGTACAGTGGGAAAAGCCAGTTTACGAAGTAGTCTTATTAGTCATCCTGTAAGCTCAGTGTATGTAGGGCTCACTCTTTTTCCTCCAAAGAGTTTATGCTTGGTTGTCATACAACATAAAGTAAATAGAATCTGTCAGTAACGTCATACATGACCATTTCAACTCCGTTATACCGTGTTACATTTTTGTCCTGTTGGTGAAAAAATAGTTTCCATCATTTTTATTTTTCGCCTTTCTAGTTTTGAAAAGAAATTGAACTCGTTAAAAATTTTGAAATTTGACTAGGCACTTTTCATATTCTCAGATATTCAGTACTTGAATTGCAACATATTTTGCTCACGTACTTATTTACTTACTTACTTACTTACACATGTTACCCTTCGTCGAGGAGCATAGGCCGCTCACCAGCATTCTCTATCCAACTCTGTCCTGAGCCTTCCTTTCCAGTTCTTTCCAGTTAACATTCATCCTTTTCATATCGGCTTCTATTTCCCGGCGTAGTGTGTTCTTTGGCCTTCCTCTATTCCGCTTCCCTTTCGGATTCCAAGTTAGGGATTGAGTCGTGATGCACATTGGTGATTTTCTCATTGTATGTCCGATCCACTTCCAACGTCTTTTCCTAATTTCCTCTTCAGCTGGAAGCTGGTTCGTCCTCTCCCATAAAACGCTGTTGCTGATAGTATCTGGCCAATGGGTGTTGATTTTGCTCACCTTCTATAACATTATTTAAGAATGAAATGACTCGTGATTCTGAATAAAACTTAGACTTATTCAGGGGGTTTAAAGCATACCTATCTTAACGGTTAAACATTGCAAGTATATATTTCTATAATAGATAATGAGTCTATCAGTTTTAATCTGGAACCTAGATAATCATTCACATTGACTAAGAATGGGATAATTGAGAAGATATGCACATCATTCAGACATTTATATGTAAAACTTTCATCTCTATTCTTTTTTTATAGTTGATATTGAAGAAATTCATGAAGTACAACTAGGCTGTTCCTCAAGAACTACACATTCCCTCGGTCGACGACGTCCACTTAGTATGACTCCAACATTATCACATGGCTTTTTATCCTCAAGTGGATCAGGTAGCCTAATTCAATCAGCATCAAAAATGTATTCATCAAACAATTCAAGTTCTTTGACTATTGGTTCAATGTCACCACAAATTCAAAGTTCCACATCATTAAATTCAACGATACTTAATCTTAGTTCTAGTGCATTTACAATATGCTATGGACCGGATTTTACTGTATTAGAAATTTTAGCTTCTGGTCCAGAAGAAGCAAATATTTGGGTGACTGGATTAAAATGTCTAATGGCTGGTGCTCAAGGTTAGAAAAATTTGTTTTGTTTTTATCTCAGCATATTTTACTATTTTATAATTTATTTCTTATTGAATACTGCTTCTAATATGACAAATTGATCTAAGCCAGACCACCATTGAAAACCTGGAAGTACTGGGTGGCCATTCGCGCAATATCGTTGTTCAATTGAATTTAGACATTAACGTCTCAGTGGTCTAGAGGTTAAGCGTTTGCATGCGAGACCAAAGGTCCTGGGTTTGAATACCGCGTATGTGATCGCGGATGCGCACTTATAAGGAGTCTCATACTAGGATGAGACGGCCGTGCAGTGCTTCGAGGCTTTCAGTGATGGTTTAGTATAGATACATTCATGAATTCAACTCTGAAAATACTACAATCCCTATACTGATAAAAACCGCTTTGTAAGAATAACACATCATTAGATAAAAAATACAATTGCTATTCTTCGTAAATCATATTTCACTGAACTGTAGACCTGCCTAATTATATAGGTCTCCGTTTTCATAAATGTACATCTATTATCATAAACTGACTTATTTTATCTTGGTTCGTCAGCTCTATATACTTTCACACATTTGTAAAAAGTGTATCAACCTGTCTCCGATTTAACTAATGAGAAAATTGAAATATACTACCTAGAAAGTTTTGTACATTTTACTCTTCCTCGGACATTTAAAGAAACTAAAAGCGATTATTCAAGATTTCATTCATCAAATATATTCAGCAATGGAAAAAAGATTTCATGAAACCAAGACGTTTCTTGCAATCATTTACGACTGAATATTAATGCCAATCAATCATTGTTTAAGAATTATTCATACAAAGGTTTTTTATACGTTTACAAATTGAATAGATATGGAGCTAGAACTTTTCTACAGTTCCATACATATTAACCTCCTTTGTGAGTATAAACTTGCTATTAATCAATTACATAACTGCTTACGTTCTTTTTTCAACTTAAATTGAAAGAAGAAAGAAAGAATTTTTCGTTCTGATTGGTTTAACAATAGAAATAAGATTATTATCAGAAGGGGTTTTGTGGAGATTTTAGTAATTTATAGAGTTGAGATCATGAGTCAATTGAAGCTAGACCACCATGGAAAACCTGGAAGCACTGGACGGCCGTTTCGCCCTATTATGGGACTCCTCAGTAGTGCGCATCTACGATCCCGCCCCACGAGATTCGAACCCAGGACCTACTAGTCACGAGCCAGAGCAATTAACCGATAGACCACTGAGCTGGCACTGCTGAGGAGTCCCATAATAGGACGAAACGGCCGTCCAGTGCTTCCAGGTTTTCTATGGCGGTCTAGCTTCAACTAACTCATGATTTCAACTATTAAAATCACTATAATTTCCACAAACCTCTTCTGATAGAAATAAGATTATTTTGATTAGTTAACATCATCAAAATCTAAGGTAGGATAATGTTTAACTCATCAAGCAATAGCCTCTTTCTATTAACCACTATTTTAAACTGGAAATAACATTCATGCTTAGAGCTAATAAATGAAATCCTGAGTTCAAAACAGAATTAAAAAAATCATAATAATACTGTAGTGAACAAGATCACGAGTGGAGACAACCGGATACACTTAAGCACAAATGACAAATTATCTCACTAAAATCTGATAACCATACAGTAAACGGTTAATTTGCAAACTATCAATCAATCGTCTCACTGTTCCTTCTGTAAATATCAATCCACGTTCTCTGATTTAATGGTTCATGCATTTCAATACCGATTGCGCTTCGTTCCTCTTCTTTCCTTATCGATCTTCTTCCGAAATACATTCTATGCCTGAACATCACTATATACTACTTATGTGGATATAAGTAAACCACATTACAATGCAACTGAGAAAACCATTTAAAAGATTAACAAATTAGTTAAGAAGGATATATTTAAGCCTGATTAGATTTTTTTTATTGATCAGGTAAAAAAGGAGATCAGGATTAAAACTCCCATTAATTATTAAATAAAAATTGTATTTCAGCAGGGAGTTTGTGGAGATTTTATTAATTTTATAGTTGAAATCATTAGCTGGACCACCATGGAAAACCTGGAAGCACTGGACTGTTGTAAGATATCAACTCACTGAAGACAATGGTGAACAGTTGCTTAGTTTTGTGGATTGGTTAAAGTCAGACATTAACACCATTGGACGACAACTCAGTGGTCTAGAGGATAAGTGTTCGCGTTCGAGACTGATAGATCCTGGTTTCGAATCTCGCGAAGCGGGGTCATGGATGCTCACTGCTGAGGAGAAAGAAGCCAATAAAGAATCAATATATATGTGTTCATACCATTCAGTCAGGATGTTCTACAAATAAATCATATTGCAATGCTGAACTAATTTTAAAAAATGATCAAAACGCATAATTCACCATAAAAACGAGGTCACCTTTTATAACATATTGGCTGGATTTATAGGTACCAACACTTTTTTTACCAACTAGATCTTTTGGAAGTTTAGACTATTATCTCTAGTCTTGATACTACAAGAACCAATCATTATTAAGGTCTCAGTAGCCCACTGTATTTATTTATTTATTTGAACACATAAATATTGGTACGAAAGGGCACCAGATATATATGCGCCACACAAATCTCATTTAATTTGCGTGAGGGCTATGATACCAGCCAGGTTCCCAAACTGAAGCAGGTGGTTTTCTTAGGGGGCCACACCCTGAGCCTTTGACTTAAAGGTCTGATCCACATGACAGTAGAGCATCGTAAGGAAATGCAGTCCCATGGTAAACGGTGACCAGCGATTGATTCCTACGCCATTTGTTCCTTCAGGATACTGGAGCCCATATTCACCATTGGTTTGGAGTCAGGGTTTTCCAACTCCCTTAGTTGGACTTTCCGTGTCCACCAACCTCGCTAAAGCGCCAGACATTCGTTTTTCGTCCTCTCAATTTTGTAAACAACACCCATAGTGAGAGAAGGCAGTGAGTAGGACTTCCCTGGTAGTGGCTATATACGCCACTGTAAATATAGTCCACTATAGAAAAGTCCATTAACTTTCCAGCTTACAGTAATTCTTTATCTTGGATAAATTCGTAGTGTTCGTTTACATCAGTGTATAGCCGAAAGGATAAAGTAGATAAGCAACCAAGCGGCAATTTTAAACATTGAATACTGATAAACAATTTACAAACTTACTTCTTTATTTATTTATAGATCCGCAAGTCCTAGAAGATAGACAGAAACCACGTGACAGGTTAGTCATATATATCCATATCTATATTTGTTTACTTAATTATCATTGTTGATAAGCGATATTTGACTTGTTTATAATAATCACTATCCTGTTTCCTAATTATAGTTACTATCCATTTTCTACCGAGTACACAAGATTGATGTATTTTAATGTAAATTGTACCTTTTTTAATGAATCTAATCATGGATATTAAGTAAAGGGAAATATATATATATATATATACCCTATTTGATTTTTCATTCCATCAATGTTATATTCAATAAAGAGATCCATTTTCAGGCTGTTACTTATGAAACCCTATATATATATGGGATTGATAAACGCATGATCCGCTTAGTAACTCCTATACAATATTTATATATAATGCTAAGTAATGTATAGTTAATAATGACATAGCTCTCTATAGGATAAGTACTGATTGACTGAAAATTGTAGAATTTGTATATCATAACAATGTAGCTAATTAAAATGATCATTATTATACTTTGTTCTATTAAGTATAAACTAATTAGAGAGTTAAATATGAAAGCAGTAGGAAATGGAAAGTTTAGGAGATACGTCAAGTAAGAGGAGTGAAATTTTGTAATTTCAAAACTGTGAAAGAAAGAAACATAAAGAAAACGAAAAGTAATATTAGAATTGGATAGTAGCAAGTAGTTGAATCACAGATGCCTGTTTCATTCAATTTGAAACTCGTCAGATATACATGTTCCTGCGTTCCAATGGAAACCTTCGATCCAACTGTTAGCTATTATATATAGTTGAGATCATTAGTCAATTGAAGCTAGACCACCATGGAAACCTGGAAGCACCAGACAGCCGTTTCTTCCTATTATGAGATTTCTTAGGAATGCGTATCTACGATCCCGCCTCACGAGATTCGAACCCAGGACCTATCAGTCTTTCGCGTGAACGCTCAACCTCAAGACCACGGTGTTAATATCTAACTTCAATCCATCCACGAAATTGAGCGACACAACCATCAATGTCTTCAATGAGTTGCTATCTCACAACAGTCCTGGTTTATTTATTATTTGCCTATATATAGAATGTTTTTTAGTTAAGATCTATCTATTAATCAATAAGTAATTCTAACTTATTTTTTCTTATTTTATTTTAATATTAATTGGATTAATTTATTTCATTAAGGTAGAAATCCAATGTATATAGTTTTATTAGGCACGATCATATTACTTATGAGTAGTAAGTTGTGTATTAAAAGGTTTTGAAGATAAAGGGAATCAATAATGATGACATGAATTTACACGTTATTAGCTGATGATTTTGAATTATCTCAAGTGATTTTGACTTCTTTTCTATTTTGTGTAATCCTCAACACCTTACTTACTTATCCCTGTTACTCCTAATGGAGCATAAGCCGCCGACCAGCGTTCTACAACCCACTCTATCCTGGGCCTTCTTTTCTAATTCTATCCAGTTTTCGTTCATTCTTCACATGTCTGTCTACATTTGTCGGCGTAATCTGTTCTTTGGTCTTCCTCTTCTACTTTGGCCTTCAGGATTCCTTGTGAGGGCTTGTCTTGTGACGCAGTGGGATGCTTTCACCAATGTGTGTCCTATCCACTTCCAGCTCTTCTTCCTGATTTATTCCTCCACTGGGATCTGGTTTGTTCCCTTCCACAGTAGAATTTCGCTGATAGTGTCTGGCTAACGGATCCGAAGTATTTTGCGTAGACAACTGTTATTAAGCACCTGTATCTTCTGGATGATGGCCTTCGTAGTTCTCCCCCAACTTCTTAATGCTTCTTAATTTCAAAGCATTAAATTTCTATTAGTCTTCTCTTTCTATGTTATCAAAAATGTCGTTTATTCCAACTATTACATATCAGTTCTAGAAACAACTTTTTCCGTCTTTATGCAGATATTGGTTTATTACTTATGATCTTTTTCATGTAGTACAACATGAAATTTATTTTGGTTAAAGTCATAACTTATTAAGTTAGATTAAATCATTGAATTAAGTCAAAAATAATGGTAGAGTATTTAATGCTTCACAATATGATCAGGTCACAAAGTACTGGGTTCTAGTCCAAGTTGAATCATAAATGCCTTCAGTTGAAGATCATCATTTTAGAAAGAAACAACTGTTTAGACATTCCTAATTTTAATGATTTTCTAATCCAAATCAACCTGTCATATAATACTTGTGAATAAATAAAAAATAAACTCAGTATTGGTAAGCAGAGATGGATAGAGGCTATCAGTGGAATCCAGTTTGACGCGCGTTTCGTCCTATTTGGGACTCGTCAGCTGGGTGTACCTGCATCTCAGAGTTGATCTTCACTCTGGGACTCGAACCCAGTACCCTCGCTTCAAACGCCATCGCGTTATCCACTCGACCAGAGTGAACATCAACTCATAGATGCAGATACATCCAGCTGACGAGTCCCAAATAGGACGAAACGCGCGTCAAACTGGATTCCACTGATAGCCACTATCCATCTTTGCTTACAATGCTTGTGAATTAAGGCTATATCGAGGCAATACGCACAGTATGCACATATGCCAATTAGAGATTGACCAGTTGCAGTCCTAACACATCGATGGGAAGATTCAAACAAACAACACTAAACGAATTTAAACTCAGTATTGTTCATCGAAAACTAGAATCAATAGGAATATTTGCAAAGGACTGAATAACTATCTTCTTTTAGTATGAGCTTTAGAGAGTGTGACATCAAAATCGTTCTCTTAAATTACGAAAAGATGCGATTGTCTTTGTATAGGATTCTTTAACAGAAAGGATCCACACTGTCAACAAAATTAGAATTCAAGATCTATAAGTCTTGAGTCGAGCGGTAACGTTTAACTTTCAGTCACTCATTCTCTTTTGTAAATTCTTCTCCCCTACTTCTGTCTAAACAACCGATTTGTGTCGTTATTCATCACAGTTGGGATATGGCTCATATCCAAGCTTTGAAATATTTTTATTCTAGTAAAAAACGTGAGTGGTTGAGATCCAGGAAACGACTGACAATTTTACTAAAAAAAGAATAATTTTTAACGCTTCATCCAGCGCATCAAACGTAACACTCTCCCTGCCAGATATAAAGCCCATTAGTTTAATTTCTATTAGAGTCATGGGTAAGGATTAACAAGAAGCAGTAATACAGTTAAAAGAAAAACAACTAATCTAAACTCTGTTGAAAGCGTGTGTGCTGTTGTGTCTTGACCTAGCCGTCGCCAATTGTTATGTCTTGATCAAGGTCGTAGCCATTTATTGTAATTTGTTCTGACCTTACAAATTAAACAACGACGTAACTTGCGTGAATTATCCGCCAATAGAAATACGACTTCTACGACCTTAACACTGTGACAATGACATTCGATTAGTATGAGTAATCCGGCGTCCTTATTGGTCCTTCATCCGTCTAGCCAGTCCACTTGAGTCCAGAACACCAATAGCAGCCTCGGCAATATGAATCTATGCGAATCGTTTACTTCAAACATACTCTGTTTATACATCAGACAGACAGGCCACATCACACCATAAAATAGAAAATATTATTTGTACAAAATCAAGCCAAATGTGGCTGTAAGCGTGGGAGACAATAATCAATAAACTGAGTATAATTTAGGAACAGTCAATCATATAATAATAATCAAAAGGTCAAAATGAAGCTTGTAATAAGATGAATATAGATATACATAATCTAGTTACTGATTAGTTATACAATAAGAATAATAGTCCAATAGTAGGTCCTGCAGTTACCCGTACTTATGTCTTCGCTACTACATAACAGGTGCGCACTGCTGAGGAGTCCCACAATAGGACGAAACGGTCGTCCAGTGCTTCCAGGTTTTCCCTGGTGGTCTAGCTTCAATTGGCTCACGCCTTCAACTATGAAAATACTAAATCTCCACAAAAACCCACTTCTGATAATCTTAACTCTCGCAACTAATGTTAATATACGACAAGAAATCATCTTCACCAAATTAATCTAAGCTTGATAAAAGCTTTAACTAAATGTTAAAATCCTCATAATTTCCTACAGACAGATGCAAATAACTTGTCCAAACTAATGATGAGATGTCTATAATTCAATCATTCAAGGGAAGACTATACATCATACTGCCAAAGTTCATCTACTTGAGTTTCAAATGTTTTCAACATTTTAGCATAGTTTCCCTAAATTATTCATTTTATCTATAATTCCAACTGCGTATTATGTAAATATTTGTCTATATTAACTGATACTTGTGTTTCCCTTTCACTTAGTAAACCAAACTAAGCTTTATTCAATAGTATCTTACTTAACTATTACAAACGGTAGGATATAAAAACAGACGAAAAATTTAAAAACAAATTAATGTCATACTGGGCAAATACTTTCATCTTATCACCACAAGCATCCATTTTTTTCCCATATATAAACATCACGAAATTGTTTTTTAGTTATAAAATGTATAATCACTATTATGGGGACTATGGTAACTGTTGGGTGTTAATGAGATCAAAAATAGACAAAAGTTGGATAAGCAATAAAAAAAAACTTCTAAGGACATGATAGATGTTTCTTCTTAATCTGAGACGGAGTGATCATCCGTCCTATCACTGAATAAGTTCAGTATATTCAGTATTCAATACGAATGTTTAACTTCTAGACTGATTGGCTAAAATCCAATGGTGGTTATCTTTGAATACAGTTAATTTTTTGATACAGTACAAGCATCTTCCATCATTTTCGAGGAGTACCATCATCACACCGATACGGTTTAGTTTCATTAGAACTTTGGAAATTCCCTCTTGAAGTTATTCACTAGTCAACACATGGTAATTATCAATCTAGCTTTTAGGCATTAACCGAATGTCCTGGACATAGTACCCTACATGTTGTGTTGGTGGATGCGCTCTACTAAGGAGTCCAATACTAAGAAGAAACACATATTCAATTTTTCTAGTTTTTTTTAGTGGATTTTAGCTTAGATTATTTCGTGATCTCAATAAAATGTATTCATCTGAAAGTAAGTATTTAAAGATTGCAATGAATTTCCAACTATATTTAGCAGACCTATTAATTACGTAATTAATATCACCATTCTAAAGTTTAATACAAACAACACTAGATACATTTACTTCTCAATGGTAAGACTGTTTTCTTGATTTAATAGTATCAAGCTAAAAAATGGTAGATAGGAGGAAATGTAATCCCTGAATTCTATTATTTGCCACCTTGTAAGTTATAGAATGCATATGAACACTGATTATAATTTAGTGTCTCAAATAGGATAGACGATGAACCTGCTGAATATATAACAAGGTTTAATGCCGATATGATAAAGCAGTCAATAAATTTCGATAAATTTTCTACTGTTAATAGTTTCTATGAGATGTTAGACGGTTGGGTAAAGTCTTTGAACATTGTCAACTACGTCTATCAGTAATTGTAAGCAAAGATGGATAGGACGAAACGAGCGTCAAACTGGATTACACTGATAGCCACTATCCATCTTTGCTTACAATGCTTGTGGAATAAGGCTATATCGAGGCAATACGCACAGTATGCACATATGCCAATAAGAGACCGACCAGTTGCAGTCCTAACACATCAATCAAAAGATTCAAACAAACAATACTAAATAAATTTTACGTCTATCAGTAATGTTTAGGATAATGATGTTTCTGTAGTATTCCATCTCATGATGCATTTAGAAACATTGTGTAATCAGTGATTAGATCATGTATACCCTATTAGACTTCTTAAGTTTAATTTTATTAACTGTTATGCCGCGATAAGGATAATGAATGGTAACTTTGGGATCTATTTATGAACCAATATTATGCATATGTTGCTTACCGTATAATCGCTAAATAACTAAACTATTCATATTCGTGTTCCCCTTATTATAAGCTATATTTTGAACTATAAACTATTGTTATATGATTTACCATTCATGAATTATGCCTTGTCTATTATTTACTATCTCCCCTATTCACAGACACATTTGGCTGAATCTTGTACGCATGTTATTTTCTATTTTATGGTACGATGTGGTCAGTTTGTTTGGTATATAAACTTAGTATGTTTGAATTATAAGGATTCATACTGCAGAGGCTGTTATTGGTGTTCTTGACTTAACTGACTGAGCTAGGCAGAAAGCAGGACCGATACGTACTCTAGACTGCTCGTACGATTTCCGTATGTCACTGTTTCAATCGATCATTCGCTGCTCTCTGATTGGCGGTCTTATCATGTCATACGTTAACAAGGGCATCTACTCGGCCACATGTTATAACATTAACAAAGTTTCAATCAGTTCTGTTGTGTAAATAGGTACCACTACATTCATCTAGTGTTGGTTAGTTGTAGGTACTCAAAAGAAGTATTCTGTAATATGTATACATTGTACATATATAAACAAATGGATACGAACACTTTGTTAGATTACAAAAAAATTTGCTATCCTGAACGTAATAAGTATCATTTAAAATGCTTGTTTGCAAACAGTTATTCTGTGATTTGAACACTGTTTTCGTTAGGTTTTCCATTATGTAACTGACAGTTTGGTTTTAGTGTTTCTTTAAACTAAAAGTCTATCTTCACAGTGGTAAACACCATACTTTTTATAATAATGGTTATATTAAACTTTCCAATGCTCCCTGATTTTTAATGGTTATTTAGACTATGAATAGTTCATAATGATAAACTTAACAAACCTTATAAACCTCTATATCGAGTCCCACGTGTGAGATTACTGTCACGCACTGATGAGGAGTCCCATACTAGGACGAAGCGGATGAATAGTGTCCACAGGTTTTCATTGGTGATCTAGCTTAGACCAACTCTTGAATTCAGCTTTGATAATAAATCATATATCTGTCACGAATGTATGAAATTATATATAAAGTATAATCATTGGAAACTAGAAAATTAATGACAAATACTTTATTCTATTGTGTCACGATTATACAATACACACAATTAGGTATCGTACTTAAGAAATTCCTTTTTTGTGACTAGCATGATACTAATAAACTCATGAGTCTTATTAAAATAGTTCAATGGGAAATTTTCTTACTGTATACACCATGTTGACTTTGATACTTAGAAAGTTCATCATGAAAATGTATGGAAAGGAACATTTTAAAGGTGATCAATGTCAATAAGTCGATTGAATTTTCAAGACTAGTGTTTTTGGTTAGTGTTTTTTTAGCGGGTAAGTTTTCTATGGGATAGGGTCGCTAATCTCATGCCCAACCCTTATCCGCGCTTGGGACCGGCAGTAGCTCCCGGAGGAGGTACAAGTGGAGTTAATTGTTTGAAATCTACACAATCTTGTTTCTTTGTTTTGTAAAGCATTAATATTTTATTTTGAAACTTTACTTTTTTTTATCTAGATGGTTACAAATTTTATTTCATGAAGCTGATTCAACTAATCAAGGATACTTAAGTGAATTTGAAGTGATTCGTTTAATTCGATCAATTAATCCAAGTTTATCATCGATACATTTAAGGCATAAATTAAAAGTAAGTCATTGAAAAAAAAATTATTTAACTGAAGATTAAACAAGTAAATAAGCTTCTTTGCTTATTTGGAATATGATTAAATAGGAGGGGGGAGTGAGGTGTCTTGCTTTAAGGACGTTTCAGAAATTCTCAACTATAATCCATCACGAGGGAGTGAACTTAAGACTGTTGAATCTCTCAGTAAGTATATTACTTTCAGGCTACTGGAGCGGTCAATATTTCCGATTTTAGTCTATTTCAATTACACGTATGCAGCGATGGTTTTCTGATTTGGTTAAGTTGAGCTAGTTAATTACAGTATAATGAATTCTGGTTAATGAACCCAATTGTAAACATTTTCATATAACTTTGAAGTTAACATATCTTATTCTCATACTAAATTAGTTCATATAAACATTCATTAAAACTTAACCGAACCATTTCATAGAACGTAACACCTAAGCATATAAAATTGTTATGCTTTATGCTAATACGAGTTCAGTTTACTCGGTAAATGGAACGAAGGTCAAGACATAGTGATACGATAAGTTATTCTAATCCGTTGTCCCAGGCCCCGCTAACTAGAGTGAGATGTCCAAGTTGGAAGTGGGGAAGTTATATTCCGTAAGCAACCAGAAGCACAAGCAATCGAAACAAGAAGAAATCAAACGTATATATATATATACATATATATAGAATAAAACTGTTATTAAATAGCATACTAAAAGATACAACGGGCCAATAACGTTTAAGATTTTCCCGAGTGGGAAATACAACATGAAGTTGAAAAGAGCTCTTTTGACGTGGAAACAAAGAAATTCAAATTTTCAAAATAAAAAGTTACAATCATCAGTGATATTTGAGTCAAAATATCAATACTAAATATATAGTTATATGTTACTGGTCTAGGGTACGATTCTAAGAAATACATACTTACTTTATTTACTAATGCCTGTTACCCTTCGTCGAGGAGCATAGGCCGCCCACCAGCATTCTCCATCCAACTCTGTTCTGGGCAATTCTTTCCAGTTCTTTCCAGTTAACATTCATCCTTTTCATATCTGCTTCTATTTCCCAACGTAATGTGTTCTTTGGCCTTCCTCTATTCCGCTTCCCTTCCGGATTCCAAGTTAGGGATTGCCTTGTAATGCACATTGGTGATTTTCTTAGTGTATGTCCTATCCACTTCCAACGTCTTTTCTTAATTTCCTCTTTAGTTGGAAGCTGGTTTGACCTTTCTTACTAAGAAATACATAGAAGGGAAAAATTATATCAGATTTCTTTCACATCCCTTTTTCTTTTATTTAATCAGGAGAATGTGTAAATGAAATACCAACACCACCGACTTCTCTATTAAATGTATGTTGATAATGGGATTGTTTATAAAATAAATCCTACCCTATTACTGAATGATTGACATGAGAAAATGCAACAGAGTAAAAAATTAATTAGGATAAAATGTTGATGAAATTTGGTTATCAGTTAAACCTAGGATACGTGTTCCATCCTGTTTGCAACTCATTGAATGTATGTACCTGAATCTCGAAATTGAGGTTTACTCCAGGATTCTAACCCAGTGTTTTTTGCTTCAAACACTTAACTTGATATGCCCTTAGCTACAAAGTCCAACTAGCCATTCACTTATAGTGACCCGATATTTCTGACTCCAGGTAGATAGTATGAATGATTGTTATTGAATGATTGCTGTCAAAATATACACTCCATCAATTGTCGCATATTATTGTCAACTTAGTTCGAGTTCGAGAATAACAAAATTAAATAAGTGAAATACGAGAATGAAGTTTGAATGCATATATTTCATACAATCGTTGATCTGAACGGACAGTCAATCAGAGAAACGAAGCGAATAAAGTGAAGAGAAGAGAGCGAAGCGAAATGACGCGCGGTGGAGAAGGAATGTATGCCGATTCAGTTTAACCAAGCGTGAATCAATATTTATAGTCAGACAAAAATAAGTTACAAAAAATGTAAACAGTAAGATAAGAAATGAACACACATGCGCCTACATAAAAACAGTCAAGGTTGATAACAGAATAAGTAATAAGGTCAAAATTTAGCTCAAGAAGAATGAATAGATTGATCTGTCCAAAGCTCAAAATAACCTACGTGAGTTTGGCATAGTACCAGCTCTTATACACTTGTTCCACGGGCATGTTTTTGTTACGATCTCAAGTTATTCCATTGTCAATACAAGGACTAAATTTTGATCTGTTTGTATTAATGCATCATAGTTAGATCTGTACATTTATAACTTTCCATACTCATTTCTCACCAGTACAAAAGACTTACCTTGTTCTTTAAATATTGAACTCAGAGTAAATAGACCGAATAAAACTAAAAAGTCAAAATCGGCTCCTTTCAATTTAGCTTTTATTCATCAAAATTGATCGGATCTACAGAATTCAACAGTACTATTAAAAATTAGGCATATTACTACGGATGACTAATATCCATGTATATTCGCATATATGAATTGATTCTTAGAAAACTACGGAACAAATTAATTAGAATTTAAAAACTAGGAACATATTTATGATCATCTGTATTTGTATGGAAATGAGTTCATATAAAATTGAATCAATAAATGTTTCGTATTATTTATAACTCTGTTTATACATTGGAAGCACTGAACGGCCATTTCATCCTCTTGTGGGACTCCTCAGCAGTGCGCATTCATGACTCAGGCGCCAGATTGGTAGGTCCTGAGTTCGAATCTCGCGAGGCGAGGTCGTGGATGCGCATTGTTGAGGAGTCCCACAATTGGACGAAACGGCCGTCCAGTGCTTCCAGGTTTTCCCTGATGGTTTAGCGTCAATTGACTCACGCTTTCAACTATGAAAATACTAAAAATCTACACAAAAATCCCTTCTGACAATAAAGAGAAAAACGTTTATAACATAACGTTCTAGTGAATACAAAATAAGTAAATATTTTGATAAGCGTAATTTAATTCAATATAATAGATTGAGACACTGAATCTAGCTCCTCGCTAATTGACACTTAACCAAGACATACCTGTTCAAATTTAATAAAAATGATGCTTCTTGGTTGATTCAAGTCAGCTACATCTATCTTTTCTACTGAGCCATATCATGCACTTTATATGTATATCATGTTATATGTGATTAATTCCTTGAATTTGAAAACGTGAAAGCATGAAATTTCACCTAGTAACTAATGGAGTTTTGTTCTCTAAGCTCAGGCCAGTGGACACAGTGAGTTCACCTAGGGGAGTTAGGAAACCCTGATTCCAAATCAATGGTTCACATGGGCTCCAATATCGTAGTAAATTCTAAATAGTAGTTTAAAAAATAAAGATATTAATCCTCTTTTAAATAAAAATATTGTGACATTAAAGTCATTTAAATAGACAAACATTGTGAGCATGACAGTTCCGCTTATTACATCCTCTGGTTAAACCAAAATATAAATATACTGCCCCCAAATGCCCTTGTACGGCTGAGAGTGGGGAAAGTCCGCTCTCACTCTCCAAATGCTCTCACATGGCCACGCGTAAATAGCCTCTACCAGGAAAGTCCTACTCTCCTCCTTCTCGTGGCGAGAATGTGGTTCACGAAATTGAGAAGATGAAAAGCGAATGTCCGGCGCTTCAACCGGTTTGGTGGACACGGAAAGTTCATCCCTGATTCCAAACCAATGGTGAATATGGGCTCCAGTATCCTGAGGGTACAAATGGCGTATGAATCAATCGTTGGTCACCGGCTACCATGGGACTGCATTTCCTTACGATGCTCTACTGTCTTGTGGATCAGATCTCTAGGTCAAAGGCTCAGGGTGTGGCCCCCTAAGAAAACCACTTGCTTCAGTTTGGGCACCTGGGTAGTATCACAGCCTTCACAAAAATCAAATGAAATTTGTGTGGCGCATATATATCTGGTGCCCTTTCGTACCAATATTTATGTGTTCAAATAAATAAATAAATGAATAAAAATAAAGCTACAAATGACCTAAAGTGATCCTATTTAATAATAACATAATTCCCCCTTAATCTTCTTATAACCTATTCCCTAAACTAGTCAGAATTCCATATTGAATAGTAAGTAATATCAAAATCGCAATTAAGTTATGGCAGTGAAAATTTGTAGCTCAGGTAGATGATTTTGAATGAGTTTTGTTCTCTGAGCTGGATGGTGTTCGGTCGTGGAGCTTTCATCGTTCTTCTACCCGAAGTTTATGTTTATGATGTCGTTCAGAAGAACGATAAAAGCGGCACGACCAAAACCATCCAGATCGAAGGACAAAACTCCACCAAAAACGTATACAAAATTCAACAAATCATACTAATCACCTGTAGAATTACATAAAAAAGCTAAACATAAACGCTTGAATCTCTTCTTTCAATTGTAAGCAAAGATGGATAGTGGCTAGCAGTGGAATCCAGGACGCACGTTTCTTCCTATTTGGGAATCATCAGATGGATGTACCTGCATCTCAGAGTTGATGTTTACTCTGGGACTCGAACCCAGTACCTTTCGCTCCAAACGTTATCCACTCAGCTACTGAGTCCTGATAGCTACTTGCTTGTGCAATAGGGTGAAGTTTGGATTCACTTGGTATTACTTGACTGAATCTTCTCATTGATGTTTAGGACTGCAACTGGTCAGTCTCTTATTGGCATATGTGCATACTGTGCATATTACCTCGACTCTAAGATACAGGTACATCCAGCTGACCAGTCCCAAATAAGACGAAACACACGTCCTGGATTCCACTGCTAACCGCTATTATAATGCTTGTGAATTTAGGCTGTGCCGAGGCAATACGCACAGTATGCACATATGGCCAATAAGAGACTGATCAACTGCAATCCTAAACATCAGTGAGAAGATTCAAGCAATTAATACTAAGTGAATTCTTCTTTCAGTTGTTATTGTTTAAACTACAATATAACGAACTAAATTCTTTCCTAATCTTCACTATTTTGGTATATATATCACATGAACAAAACATTTTAACAAATTTATCGATTAATAAGGAAAAAAAACTACAAAAAGAAGATCAAGTTTAATGTACATCAATCGGTAATTCGATTGATTCCTCTTTTTTTTCTTCTTTTTTTTTGTTGTTAAAAATCATCTGATCTAGTTACTGTTCCTGTATGGGAAAAACAAATCAATGATTTAAGAATAAAAGTATTGACATTCGTTTATCTATGTGTGTGTGTGTATGTTTGTACGTGAATGATGAAAATTGTAATTTTGAACATTGGATTCCACATGAAACTGTTATAATATAGAGGTAAAGTTGTTCTGTCTCTTAAAATCTTGGCTGTTAATTAATAGAAAGAAGTGGTTTTGTGGAGATTTAGTATTTCCATAGTTGAAAGAGTGAGTCAATTGAAGCTAAACCACTAGGACAGACCTGGAAGCACTGGACGGCCGTTTCGTCTCATTGTGGGACTCCTCAGAAGCGAGCATCAACGACCTCGCCTAGCGAGATACGAACTCAGGACTTACAAGTCTCGCACCAGAGCACTTAACCGATAGACCACTGAGCAGGCATGCGATGGTGTTTATGTTTAACTCCAAACAATCCACGAAGTTGAGCAACCGTTCACCAATTGTCTTTAGTCAGTTGATATCTCACAACAGAACTCTCACAATAGGAAGAAACGGTCATCCAATGCTTCCAGGTTTTCCCTGGTGGTCCAGCTTCAATTGACTCACGCTTTAAATTAATGGAAAGTAAATAAAAATAAGCTACTATATCTTCAATGATTTAATTCTGAAATGTGAAACCTTTTCATCACTAATTAAGTATACATGCCGACTACTGAGTAATTACATACTAGTGTAGTGAACAGAACACAAACATTACAGAATATCTGATTAAAATATGAGAACTATATAGTGAACAGTTAATTTGTAAAATAACAATCAATTGTCTCAATTTAACTATTCCTACTGCAAATATCCGTCCATAGTCTTTGATTATAATTGTTCATGCATTTTCGTACTAATTGCGTACCGTTTCCGTTCTCTCCTTATCGATCTTCTACTGAAATAGATTCAATGCCCGACCATCTTTATATACTACTTATGTGGATATTAGTAACCCACACTACACTAGGACAAAACACCTGTCCACTAGTTTCTGGTTTTTAATGATTATACGAAATGTAAGATTCGATAAGTTATTGTTTTTTCCCAGTTCCTGTCTGCTAACATATATATTCCCTCTTTTTCTTTATAGGAAATGGAGAGTAAAGTTCGATGTCATAAAACTGGAATAACTAAAGATGATTTCGTAAATTTTTTTAAGAAAGTTGCTACTAGACAAGAGATTTATTACATTCTTGTAAGGTAAGCATATTTTTTTGTAAAAAGGATGTATACCCGATTGTCATTGAAACTTAGTTTACAATGTATATTTTACTATATAATTATTCGTTAGAATGGAGGTTGTGGAAATTATTGAATTTCATTTAAATCACGAACAAATCTAAGTTTTTTCATAGTTGAAAGCGGGAGTTAATTATAACTAGACCACCAGAGAAAACCTGGAAGCACTGGATGGCCGTTTCGTCTTACTATGGGACTCCTCAGTAGTGCGCGTCCACGACCTCTCCTCGCGAGCGAGATTCGAACCGAGGACCTACCAGTCTCGCGCCAGAGCATTTCACCCACAGACCACTGAGCCGGCGGTGTTTATATCTAACTCCAACCAATCCACGAAGTTGAGCAACCATTCACCAATTGTCTTTAGTGAGTTCCTGTCTCACAACAGACGTGGTTTGAACTCCACTCGTCACTGCTTCTCACTAGAACTCCTGGATTTACCTCTCGAAGTCAGTCACTAGTGAGCATATGATCATTATTACCAGAAGGGGTTTTATGAAGATTTAGTATTTTCATATTTGAAAGCGTAAGTCAATTGAAGCTAGACCATCAGGGAAAACCCGGAAGCACTAAATCTCCACAAAACCCCTTCTAATAAATCTAAGTTTAAAAAACCACTGATAATGATGATATACAGGACGGCGTTTTCGTCCTAGTATGAGATTCCTTGGCAGTGCATATTCATGACGGTGCAGCCTGGATTGTTTCGTGATATGTCGATTCCTGAACTGCTAACTTCTAATTGGCAACCATTCAATAATGATCATCAGGATCGATCAAAAAATAAGAAAAGTAAACGTGTTGAAACACTTTGTGTTGAGAATTCGATATTGTACCAATAATCTAATATTGAATAAAGCCGTTTAGTAATAATAATAATAATAATATAATTATTCGTTACTTATAATTTTAATTTAAAGTTATTATTTGTGATTTTCTTAAGCTGCCTTATACTAAAATATTAAAGCAAGTTCACTTTATTGCAAATAACTATTATGAACTATCAAAGCTATTGTGTAACAATAAAACCCCTGTCTAGAACTCCACAGTCGTCCAGCCGTCCAGTACTTCCTGATTTTCTATGATGGTCTAGCTTCAATTGACTCATGATTTCAACTATGAAAATAATGAAATTTCCACAAAACCCCTATCTAGAACTCCACAGTTAATAAACTTTATTAAGATTTTAGTGACCCTTAATCTGACTCTAATTAAATCGAACGATAATGATTGTTATCAATAAACTCATACCGCCAAACCTCATATATTTTTATAGACTTAAATTGAATTAGTGAATAACTGAATAAAAATAAGTCAAATATGAGAACGCGGTTTGAATATGTATATTTCGTACACTCACTAATCTGAACAGACAATCAAGGGAACGAAGTGAAGAAAGCAGAAAGGAGGGCGCGAGGTGAAGAGGGATGAAATACCGCTCAACAGAGAAGGCGGTTGAGCTAACTCGATTTAACCAAGCGCGAATCAATATTAATAATCAGGCCAAAAATAAGTTATAGGATGAACAATCAATACACGTACAATGATTTTGAAACAATCAGGTTTAATAAGGGGATAAGTGACGAACTCAAAATGTTGTTTGAGAACAATAAATTAATTGGTCTGTCTAGAAGCTAGGATAACCTATGTGGGCTTGAAATAGTACCAGCCGCTACAATATATCGCTATAACGGGTTAATTAGATTACAGAGACCAAAAAAACTAACTGGATTGTACAAAAAGTGATAATAGTTAATCATTGTTAACTTTTTTACGAATAATTCTGTTATATATTTATTTAAACACATAAATATTGGTACGAAAGGGCACCAGATATATATGCGCCACACAAATTTCATTTGATTTGTGTGAAGGCTGTGATACTACCCAGGTGCCCAAACTGAAGCAAGTGGTTTTCTTAGGGGGCCACACCCTGAGCCTTTGACCTAAAGATCCGATCCACAAAGCAGCGGAGCATCGTAAGGAAATGCAGTCCCATGGTAAACGGTGAATAACGATTGATTCATACGCCATTTGTTCCTTCAGGATACTGGAGCCAATATTCACCATTGGTTTGGAATCAGGGTATTCCAACTCCCTTAGTTGGACTTTCCGTGTCCACTGGCCCGGTTAAAGCACCAAACATTCGTTTTCCTTCCTCTCAATTTTGTAAACAACACTCGTGGTGTGAGAAGGCAGTGAGTAAGACTTCTCTCGTAGAGGCTATATACGCGTGGCCATGTGAGAGCATTTGGAGAGTGAGAGCGGACTCTCTCCACTCTCTACCGTACCAGGGCATTTTGAGGGCTATTCTGTTATTGCCTATAGATATGTTTCAAATCTATTATCGTACAATCTTTTTGCACTGAATCACTATTTAAACATCATTTATTAAAAATTATTTTAGGTATTCCAGTGGATCAGAACATTTAAGTGCAGAAGATTTAAAGAATTTTTTTGAAAGCGAACAAGGTGTAAGTTTTTCTCTTTGTGTTTGTCGTAAAATTTATGAAGTATATTTTTGTGTCTTGTTCAGTGAGTTGTTAATGTCTCGTCTATAATTAATACATCATAAGACGGAATAAATCTACCCCTATTCAACTGTCATCCTTGTATGATTCAGATCACTTTCTTCAATCTAACGTTAGTTTTAACTTAACACATATGTCTACGGAATCTTATTGTTAGTTTCTCCTATCAATTTTATATGCCTAGAAGATGTATGTCTACAGAAGAATGATCCTTCAATTCCTTTCACTCTGCGGTTCTATCAACTGTTTAAATAAAGTTAGCTGTTCGTAAAGTACAGTCGTCTGTTCTTGATTTATTTTTGCATATATAGGACATTCACATTTATCTTCGAATACGAGATACCACCCATTAATCCATATCTCGACAACCCTCTTCTTTCTTTTCTAACCTCAGTAAACAATTCAATATCCCTATCAGATCTTGCTTTGTGTTACTAAATCATCGGGAGCCATGCTCAGATCCAAGCCAAAGATGATTTTTGTTTTAAGCACATGTACCATATATAGGTATACATATGCAAATATATACACTAATAACCAATAAAAATCAGTACCCCATATTACTGTGAACAAACCTTGATGTAGGAAATATTCAAAGACCTATTATTATCCATTAAGAATAGCGAACCTCTGATATGAATAGTACTTATGCCTCTTCTATATGTTACCTAGTGTCGAATGTCATTTTTCTATTATCTTTATTAATCTTACATGCTTTACTAAATCATTTTGTCTTGTTTTAAAATTAAGAGGACTGGTTTAACACGTGATCAATGTAAAGCTTTAATTAATCGTTTTGAACCATCTCATGAAAATCGACAATACAATTTAATGGGAATTGATGGTGAGTTCATTATTTCTTGAATTTATCTTCCATGAAATTCTTAGACAGTACCTAGAATATTTTTATTAAAGTTGGGTATCGGCTAGTCACCCAGAATATATTTCATCTTGTCTAGAACTCGTTACCTAGATTCAATTTCATCCAAGTGTTCAGGTTGATAATAAGTCTTGGACCTATGAATGTGTTTCACTTCAAACGTCAACTCGTTATTCATTAAACTGTTAAGTCCAGATGGCCACTAGCTTCTGAAATGAAATATGAATCTTATCTGTAAACATTTTATCTTTTTCTCGCCGTCAATTTTAACGACTGAAACTGATTAGTTTCTGTTGTAATTTATGCTTTCTGAGTGGATTGGGAACTATACCAAAATCTTGTGACTAAATTATAGTGTCAAAGCAATCTGCCAATATGGATTAAAAAATTGTAATTCGTATTGTGATGTGGTCTACTTATATCTATATAAGTAGTATATGGCGATGGTCAGACATAGAATGTATTTTGGCAGAAGACCGATAAGGAAACAACTGAAATGAAGCGCAATCGGTAGGAAAATGCATGAACAATGGAATTAGAGAGGACTGACTGATATTTGTAGAAGAAACATTGAGGATAGAGACACTTGATTGTTATTTTGCGAATTAACTGTTTACTGCATGGTTATCAGAATTTAATGAGATAGTCTGTAATTTGTTCTTAAGTACATTCGATTGTCCCTACCAGTGTTCTGTTCACTACAGTATGATCAACAAGCGGAAATACAAAACCCTTACAAATAAAGTATGTGTATAGGTCAAAGGTACAAGGATATTCGGCGAGATTATAATTTATGAACGAACTAATCAGATTTAGGATAACATGTCTTCGGTTCTGATGCAAAATTAGTTTCTTCAGTTAACCTTTTTCCATGCCCTGCTTTAATTTTAGGGTTTACATTACTATTATTATCCGAGGAATGTGATATATTCAATCCAGTACATTTACAAGTTTGTCAAGATATGTCCCAGCCAATAACTCATTATTACATTGCATCATCACATAAAACGTAAGTTTTATCATCAGAAGTGGTTTTTGTAGAAATTTAGTATTTTCGTAGTTGAAAGCGTGAGTCAATGGAAGCTAGACCACCAGGAAAAACCTAGAAGCACTAGACGGCCCTTTCGTCCTACTGTGGGACTCCTCAGTAGTGCGTATCCATGACCTCAATTCGCGAGATTCGAACCCAGGACCTAGCGGTTTTATCTATTCTAAATAAATCTATTACTAATTCGATGATCAAAATCCAAATAAATCCAACTTTTCTTTCTGTAGACTTCTCGGAGCATATTCAAGGAGTTCATTCCAGTGGTCAAGATTATTTACTTGCAATATCTTCTGTATACTTGACACTTGATTTCTGTCAAATTTTATCTTCAAAGGTTGATAGATGTTTTTTTTTAATTATTTAGAATGTTTGTTATATATATCCCCTTATTTGTAGACTGATATGAATAATTATCAGAAGGGGTTTTGTGGATATTCTATTAACTTTGATAGTTGAGATCATGAGTCAATTGAAGCTAGACCACCATGGAAAACCTGGAAGCACTGGAAGGCCGTTTCGTCCTATTATGGGACTTCTCAACAGTCCATATCCACGATCCCGCCCCACAAGATTCGATCCTAGGACTTATCATTTTCGCGCGTGAACGCTTAACCACTAGACATTAATAACACAAACACAATTAATTTTTCAAATCATTTTCAATTTATTAATGATGTAATCAATGTACTTTAATTGAATCTAGAACAGAAAACATATGTGGAAAATTTAATTAATTAATTTAATCAATTATAAAATTCATGTATGTAGTATTTATATAACCATCATGAGATTCGCACCAGAGCCTTGTATCAGTTGATTTAAAAGTAAAACTTACTAATTGTCTAAGATGGGTGTTTTACATCTGATTTAATCACTATTGTTTAGTGATCTAAGGTTATCACTAATAACTTTAACTCATAATCGACCATCAGCTTTGATAGTTACATACTTACGCCTGTTACTCTCAATCGATCATAGGCCGCCGACCAGCATTCTCCAACCCACTCTGTCCTGCAACTTCGTTCCTAGTTCCATTCAATTGTTGTTCATTCTTGTCATGTCTGTCTCCATTTCTCGACTTAATGTGTTCTCTGGCCTTTCTCTTCTCCTTTGGCCTTCAGGATTCCATGTGAGGTCTTGTCTTGTGATGCAGTTGAGTGATTTCCTCAGTTTGTGTCCTATACACTTTCAGCTTTGAAAGTTAACATTGATGAATTCCATACAGAATCAAAAAACGGCAGTGAAAAACGAATACAATATAAAATAAATGATTGGGTTCAAATCAGATGATAATACTATGTATGAAAAAGTTTGAATATTCTGCTAAATTTTGTTAACAAATCAACATATATAAGAACTTTCATCTAAATTAGAGCGAATAGTTTCACAGTCTTTGGGCGCCGAGTTGATGTAAGACATTAAATAGGAAGAAGAATATATTTGTAAAATCTCAGCGAATTAATTTGAAGTAAATCCAACTATTCGCCTGGCAATCTGATCCAAGCTTCTTCAACGAAATTCACATATATATTCCTGTGGATTATTTGTCGGTTGATAACAAATCTCTGACTACCATACTTAATGATGAACAACAGAATTCTATAAGCTGATATTGTCTTTATGATTTCATATCCAATTTAATGAATAAGTCCTATCAACTTAAAACTTAGGTCATTAGTCGATTTCAATGAATGTGTGGAGTTGAACCATTTCTTTTCTGTCTCAAAAGACAATTTCATTATGTGTCACATCATGAACAGAGTGTCTACAAGGTGATGATAAAAGAATATTTACCAGATAGGATGAAACTAAACATGGAAGCTCTTATTACAGCCTTTAATGTCTCTTACATTGTAATACAGTAACATTAGTATCATACTCTAATAACTCAAATTTCAGTTTATCTTGTTCTAGATATTTCGTTTATCTAACGTATTAGACAAGTACAATCGTAGCATTATATCATACCCCATACAACTAAGCTACTTAGAGACTTTTATTAGAAGACAGATTGATAATTTTAGATTATTCCTACAGTATAAGACAAAATGTGCATTCCTTTAAGGGTTGTTAGATAATATTCCTGGAATATTGAAGTGAATTTCCTCTCTTCATGTTATATCAACCAATAGTTTAAGTAAATTATGGTTATATTGAGCAGTAAGTGAAACTTTTGGTTAGATTGAATTCTCTAAGCTTCATGTTTAAGCCATATACACCGAAGAAGGCAATCTCACCTCCGTTATTTCAAATTAACTTTCAATACACCATTTCAAAAACCCTACACATCATCTTATTTCAAATAATGAATTATAGTCAATCTTAAACCAATTATACACAGATATATCACTTTTCAAAATACAGGAATGATCCAATAAACTGTAGTGTATTTTGATGAGGTTTTGTTCTCTGAGCTGGATGGTATGGTCGTGGAGTTTTCATCGTTCTTCTGAACGACATCATCTGCACGAAATTCGGTTAGAAGTGTACTGTACTGTATTCATAAATAAAAAATAATAATATGTTTGTAATATCCCGATGAGTAGAAAAGATAAATTTTCTGATGTTTCATAAATCAGTGTAAGCCACAAATAACCAAATCAAAATTAATCCAAGATTAAATAGTACAAAGGAACAACGTAAGACTAATCAAAAATAGGTCTGAACAAATCAATGTCATGTCACTTCAGTCAAGGTGATTCATGTATGTAAATTTGTGTGTGCGTGTGTGCAAGGTTGGGGGTGAAAAAATGTGTAACCTTTATGGTGAGAAAGGAAAGAGTTTAATTTGTATGTAAAAAGTAGTATGAAATGTGAATAATATCAGACTAGGTGGCTAGGATAGATGGTCCAAATAGGATGTACGACGAAGACTTCTTGCTTATTGAGAGCAGTAGGATTAAGCGTTATATGGAAATCTTCAGCTACACTCCTTTCTTTGTAATTGGAAAAACTTTTTTGTAATATTTTGATGTTTTTGAAATCAATTTGGTGGTTGTTGAAAATGACGTAAACTGCTAATACCGATTTCATTTGAAGTCTATCCAGTTCTACAGGATTATTTGGAGGTTTCTTTGTATACCTAATATGGTCTTTGGTACGAGTCAAGATTTCGCGAGATGACTCTCCAATATAGAAGGCATCACAATTGACACATCCTAACTTGTAGACACAGGTCTGTGTTGACATATAGGGGATTTATTTCTTTTAATCGAACTAAAGTATTTCGAAGTATATTCGTTGTTTCGTAATATACTTTAATTCTGTGCTGTATTCATGTTCATTTTAGCCTTTTATATTTTGTAAAACTTATAGATTTTTACTTGAAGATCAACTGACAGGTCCTTGCAGTATTGAAGGTTATCAAAGAGCACTCCTTTCAGGATGTCGATATATTGAACGTAAGTAGATTTGTGTAATTATGTTTATTCGACAAACACGTTCTGTGAACAAAGGTTTTGCTTTCATCAAAGAATATTCTTAAATACTTTTACCACTCATACCTTTTTCATCCACAAAGCTTCTCATGAATTCGACAATTACATAACCCTCGGCCTAGTTTGTGATATTTATCATGAAGTCATTATTAACAATAAAAATGTTAGAATAAGAAAAACAATGAAAGGTTCACTATCACATCTTTTAGTCTAATAAGTCGTGCATTTCTTGAAGTTAGATATGAACACCGTTGAATGCTGGCTCAATGATCTATAGGTCAAGCGTTCACACCTGAATCCAAAGATTCTTGGTTTCGAATTCCGTATACAATATAGTGAATGCACATTACTGAGGAGTCCCGTACTAGGACTCATGCTGGAACGAAACGGCTGTCCAGTGCTTCCAGGTTTTCAATAATCATCTAATATTGATTGGTTCACGATCTCAACTACACAATTTCATTATGAACAATCTGCTTAATCATCAATTTGTTGGAATTGATCATATTAAATCATTTCATAGTGATATTTATGAAATGAAATAAACAAATACACCTTATATAAGAACTCTCGTCTAAATTAGAGCGAATAGTTTCACAGTATTTAAGCGCCGAGTTGATGTAAGACATTACAAACAAATACACTATTATAATATATAATTTTAACATTTAATTTCTTTTTAACAACTTGTATTTATTATTAGGGTTACAAAATATGTAAAAGTTTTAATCGTTGAAATCATGAGTTAGTTGAAACTAGACCACCATGGAAAACCTGGAAGCACTGGACGGGTGTTTCGTCCTATTATGGGACTGATCAACAGTGCGCATCAACGATTCCGCACTCGCGAGATTCGAACCCTTAACCTACCAGTCTCGCGCCTAGCACTTAACGGATAGACCACTGAGCCAGCATCCATAATAGGACGTCCCATATAGGACGAAACAGCCGTCCAGTGCTTTCAGGTTTTCCATGGCGGTCTAGCTTCAATTGATTCACGCTTTCAACTACGAAATACTGAACCTCCACAAAACCCTTTCTGATAATAAACATTTTAAGACAAATCTCTTTCTCACATTTCATGCAAGTTTATTAAAATCAACATGAAAATATTTTGTTATTGATATATATGCATCCTGTGCTAATTGTTTTGATATGTCCTCAAATCACAGGCATTATAAGCAGAGATGGTGATTGCTAGCAATGGAGTCTAGGAGGCGGGTTTCGTCCTATTTGGAACTCGTCAGAAGGATGTGCCTGCATCCAAGATTTAATGTTCACTCCATGAATTAAACACCAACTCCAAGATAGAGTCACGTCCGGCTGACGAGTCCCAAATAAGTCGAGATGCACGTCCTGGATTCCACTGCCAATCACCATCATCGCTTATATATATTCAGTGTAATGGTAGACTAACTAAGGTTAAATCACGATTACTATTTAATTAATACCTATATAATGAAAGTTAGACGGTCATGGTTCCCTACTATCTATGTTTATCAGAACGTGTAATGTTCACTGGACCAGAAACTCTTGTGTCATATTTGTCAAGAACTCGACTACTCCTTCATAATTATTTAAGTTCACACGCACATGTCAATTGTTTAAATTCAATAGAATTTGATATAAACATTTATATGATATTTGGTCCCATAAAAAACCATTAACTTGATCGTCTAAATGACATTTTCAAAATAATAAATATGTTTCTTCACCGAATGTTTCCTTCTCTACTTGGCGATTGAATGAAAACTTTGAAAAAGGCATTAGATACCATCTAACTTCAATAACAGTTCAACGGGGAAAGTATTCATAAACTTGAAATAACCTTATACTTCATTTCTTTCATTTTATCAAATCTAGTCATTATAATATATCATGTAATATAATATGTAACATACTGATAAAATAAATTTTCGTTTACATTCTTTAAGTACCCAGTTAATATCTTCTTGTTTCAGTAATGACAGGAAGTAATTTAAATTGATATCATGAATGGATTAATGTTAGACCACCATTAAAAACCTGTAAGCACTGGACGATTGTTTCGTTCTAGCATGGGACTCCTCGGGAGTGCATATCTACGATCCTGCACGCTGGGCTCGAACCCAGGACTTGCAGTCTCGGGGGTGGTTTAACATTGATCCATTCATGATATTAATCTAAACTCAATAATTTTCACAACCACATACTAAGAAAGTAATTTAACTTCAAATTTTTAATCAAATTACAATAAACTTTTATGATCAACTTTCTACTGTTTGTAAGGAGATTACTTTCACAATGATGAAACTTTTTGTTTACTGTACTCGATTTTTTTTATGACCATTTTTTTAGTTGAAGTCTATGATGGTCATGATGGTCATCCAGTTGTTAGACGTGCCAATTCTCGACCACCTGGTATACCAATACAAGCTGTATTAAATACAATACATGATTTTGCATTTATACGTTCTGAGTAAGTTCACTCTATACATCTGAAGTGTTATCGAAATTAAAATCTATCAAGGTAGTAATTAAAACCAGACAATATGGTACAGCTATTTTGTACTAGTACAGAACAACCCAGTAGTGAACACACATCAACAGATTAGGCAATGATAACAGGACACTAAGATCTCTCATCCAATGGTTAAGTTTTGGATTATTGAATTAAAATCCATTGAATTGCGTTAGCGTTTTTTTAGTGATTTAGTTTTTCGACGGGATGGAGTCGCTAACCCCATGCACAACCCTCCTACTTTACCCGGGCTTGGGACCGGCAGTAACTCTAGAAGAGCTACAGGCGGAGTTAAAATCCATTGAACTATATTGGAAATTTCAATCAAATTATCTAATAGTCCGATCAATATCCATTGTTACCGATAATAACTCTTTCACTTGAGATAAATACAATTGAACTTATTTAGTCAAAACTTTCTATTAGAACCTTAGATCAAAATTAATGACTAGTGAACACTGAACCAATGAACATTGAATCATTATTATTTTAATAGTTGAAATCATGATTCAATTCAAGGTAGACTACCATGGAAAACCTGGAGGCACTGGATGGCCGCTTCGTTCTATTGTGGGAGTCTTCATCAGTGCGCATCCACGATCCGGTCTCGAGAGATTCGGGCCCAGGACCTATCGGTCCCGCGCGCGAACGCTTAACCGCTAGACAACTGAGCCGACATCCATTGGTGTTAATGTCTAACTTGAACCAATCCATGAAGTTGAGCGACACAACCACCATTGTTTTCAGTGACTTACTATCTCACAACAGACCTGGTCGAACTCCACTGGCTATCGCTCCTCACTAGAACTCCAGGAAATACCTCTCGAAGCCAGTCACTAGTGAACATATGTTGATTAAAATCCGAATTGGTTTTTTGGATATTATAGTAATTTTAATAGTCGAAATCATGAGCCAATTGAAGCTAGACCACCATGGAAAAACTATTTTTTAATTTCATCAGAATAGTTTATTACTTACTTTTTGATTATAATTCTAATCATTCATCTAACCAACGTTAATTAATATCACTCATCGTGGAGTACTTGTATTTATTTATTATCTTTCACCAAATAATGTAGGTTTATTCATTAATTGTTATAACGGTCCGTTTTCCTTTTTATATGTATGTGGGATGTTAATTTACCTTAGACGAATATCTACAGTAGTTTACCTTACATTATTTATTCTACAGGACTTCAACACAACTCAGATCAAGAATATATGACTCATCTGATACCTGTCAGACCATTTACATGTCTGACTAAATAAAACAACTGATAGTGGTTAGCAGTAGAATCCAGGATGCGCGCACTGGATGGAAATTTCGCCCTGGTATGGGTCTCCTCAGCAATGCGTATCCACGACCCTGTCTCGTGAGATTCTAACCCAGGACCGATCAGTCTCGCGCTAGCGCACTGCTACAATTTCCACAAAACTCCTTCTGATGTTGATCAACATATGCTCACTAGTGACTGGCTTCAAGAGGTATTTCATGGAGTTCTATTGAGAAGCAGTGACCAGTGGAGTTCAACCAGGTTTGTTGTGAGATATCAACTCCCTAAACACATTAGTGGACGGTTGCTCAATTTCGTGGATTGGTTGAAGTTAAACATCAACATCACTGGATGCCAGCTCAGTTGTCTAGTGGTTAAGCGTTCGCGCGCTAAACTGATGGGTCCTGGGTTCGAATCGCGCGAGTCGGGATCGTGGATGTGGACCACTGAGGAGTCCCATAATAGGACGAAATGGCCATCTAGTACCTACAGGTTTTCCATGATAGTCTAGTTTCAACTGACTCATTTTCTCAACTATAAAATTACAAAAGTCTCCATAAAACTCCCTTCTGATACACAAATTTCTTTATATCACTCACTTATAATTATGGGATTCTTCATTATATTGATAATATCGGCAGGATACTTAAAAAAACTAAATTCATAAATAAGGGACTGCATTTTAGGCAACAAAATTGTTATGTGTGTATCTTTATCAAAACGTGCCACTTTCTATATCAAATTTTACATCAACATAGAAACACATGGGTACATAGTAACAAATATATACACATGCCTATTTACCAATTAAGTCAAGTATGTAGGTTTATTATAGATTTTGTTTCCAAAATTGATTGATTTGAACTTTTAATAACAAAATTGTGCCACTATCAATCAACCTTGAATGATCTACTTGTATTGATTTATTGTCTGGGTATATGAGGGAAGGATGGCAAACAATAAAGAAAGAAGCAACAACTAATAGTTGGGTAAAAAATTTTAATGATTTTTGAATTAAAAATGTCAAAAGAAAAAGAAAATAAGGTTTATATAGAACTGATAAAATATGGATAGCAGTTGGATCTATGACATGCTTTTTGACCTATCTTGGAACTCATTATCTTGATGTACTTGAATCTTATGTTTAGTGTTCACGACGGGATTTGAACCCAGTATTTTTTGCTATAAACGCCGACCCACTACTGATTAAGTCCTGAAATGCTCGTTCTGAATTTCACTGCTAAGAACATTCTACCTATACCATATGGATTTTTTTTATAATAACTATTTCGAGGTAATTCTTATATGATACACATATGCCGATTAAGACTAATCAAAATCCAGTCAAATTATCAATAGCGAGATAATACAAACTATTACAAACTATAAATTAGACTGAGTAAAAAAAATATTGAAACCTTTAAGTACTGGGTGGCTATTTAATCCTAGTATGGGACCGCTTATCAGTGCTCATCAATTTTAGTTAGTTAATGATTTCAATGAAGCTTAACAATTTCCACAATACTATACTGAAAACTACTATTTGCTCACTAGTGAGTAGATTTGAGAGAAAATCTCCAGACTTCTGGTGAACATTTATGACCAGTGGATCTGAACCATAATGGAAGTGAAGAAGATACCTAGCGAAGAGGATGGAAGATAATTACACCATATCAAGAACTAATTGAAGTCCGAGATAAACGCCATTGGATTTCAGCTCATCAGTATAGAAGTTAAGCATTTGTACTCAAGGCCAAATATACTGGGTCAAATCACCGATGACACGAATGTTCAGTCCTGAGAGGTCTCACACTAAAAAGAAACACCTATCTAGTCCAACAAAGTTTTCAATGGTTGTCTAACTTTGATCGATTCATAGTTTTACTAAAATTCAACAATTTTTACAACCTTATACTGACAAAGGATTAAAAATTATGGAATAAAACTGTGTTCATAACTTAGTGGATGATCGAAATGGAATGAATCTCTTTACACCATTTTAACTAATTTCGAACAATATCAACTGAATTCTTTAACTGTAGATTACAATTAGCTTATCCGAAGATAGTGGTTAATTTGTGAAGTTTGTTCAACAATTATTGTAAAAACCCTAATCAAACAGTCTGAGCTTCCACTTATGCTTCGCTTTAGCTGCCTACAACCTAGAAATAATGGTAATACTTGTAATCAGAGATGGATGGTGGCTAGCAATGGAATCCAGGGCTCAAGTTTCGTCCTACTTGGGACTCGTCAGTTGGATGTGCCTGTGACAATATGAAGTGCGTAAAGATTTATAGAACACATTAATATCTTTATGAGGATCAGTCACTTAAGATACAAATCTGGAGACTCTAAATTTCAATCTATATCCAAAGTTTAAAAATTTTTTTAAAAATCTTTTTTTGGTTGATTTTGATCACATTTTTAAGTAAAATTTCGCTTCTCCAAAGAAAAAGACGTCAAATACAAAAGTTTCACAGTCTAACTAGAACACAACACTGCAAATGTTCATAACCACTGAATCCATAAGTGCAGTAAACTTAGTATATCAAATTAAGTATCCGCTAGCTAAATTTAAAAAGTCCTTTATATTTTCAATTCATAAGTTATACTATCCTCCGAGAAAGCACTTGAGTAAATAAACCACGAGTTATCGTTTATTTTATTATTATTATTATTATTAGCTTTATTCAATATTATATTTTTGGTATAATATAGAATTCTCAGCACAAAGTACTTCAACAAGTTTCCGTTTCTCACTTCTTCGTCCTTCCTGATGATAAATATTGAGTGATCGCCAGTTAGAAGTTAGCAGTCCAGTCAATCGATATCTGAATAATGTACATTCTTCTCGCTGCATCTAGCCAGCAACCACGATATCTCTGATTAGGCCTTTTGTAACCCTTACAGCGAAAGGTGTTACACTTTTCCAAAACTCACCTGAATAGGCTGTACGATTAATAGGTATAATGGTGTATTAAAACAAACGAAATTAGATAACTTGTTGAAATATCTAGATGACAGGAACAGGTAGCCCAGATGTTTAAACAGGCCGCGAGTTGTAGCTCTAGTTATTATATTATATATGTTCTTTAATTGTTTCGACAGTGTAATAAGAAGATGAAGATGATCTTCGTTTTCTTATTTCATTGTTGTTATCGATAGAATTCTATCAGTACAAAAGGACTAAATATAAGATTGTTCACTAAGCAGTGACCAATGAATTATAAATGTCTCACCTCTACTATGAATCGGCCACTGCCTGAATAGCTCACTATTAATGTATCATACTGGGAAAGTAGGTTTACCGTATTTAAATTCCTGTGATAGATTTGGTTCCCTCTGTATTTTGAGCATATACTACTGATGAGTAACGCCTAGTTCGAAACCCTTTTTGGTCAGAGTTTCTTATTGAATACCTCCAACCACCTCACATTTGATTGTAGTACATCATAGGGATTGCTTTGAAGGTTTCCTAAAGGTGACCTATCTTAATACTAGTTAAATCTTATGAACATTTCTAATTACTCTCTATATGTTTATATTTTCATCAATTCTTATAGATATCCGGTTATTGTATCAATTGAATGTTATGCAACTCAAGCACAACAACGTGTATTAGTCACATTCTTACGTTGTTGTCTTGGTAACCGCTTACTATTACCAAATTCAGAATTCACTTTTAATTTAAGTGAATCACAATTAGAAATTGAAGAACAAGTTGAAAAAACAAAACTACATTCTATGCTGAATAATAAAGCCAATCGTAAAAATAGTCTAACAGTAGTTGATTTAAAAAATGAATCAACAGTATATACATCAAATGGTTCTTTTGTAAGATGGCCATCACCACGTGATCTTATAGGACGTATATTATTACAAGGTAAACGATTACCAAAAGGTAGTACTACAATAATGAATACATCAAATAATGAATCAGAAAAATGGATGAATGGTGGTCTACCTAATTTAAGACGTGTTTTTAATTCATTCTATGTAAGTCAATGGCATATGTTTTTTTTATTTATCTTAATTTGCTTGTTACTTTTGTTACGTCGCGAAATATTGCGTATTGCGATAGGACTAAGCGAATTTCTACCGAATGACCAAATTTAGATATCCTAGTACGACCCCAATACTGTTCCCCAAACTTCAATAAATCAGAACACAGCCGTTAAATGAGAATTGTTTATGGTGTCTGAAGCAGAACAACAATAATTTACAGACAAGGTATATTTAATCATAGAAGGGGTTTTGTGGAGATTTAGTATTTACTATAGTTGAAAGCGTGAGTCAATTGAAGCTAGACCACCATGGAAAACCTGGAAACACTGGACGGCCGTTTCGTCCTATTATGGGACTCCTCATCAGTGCGCATCCACGAACCCACTGTCGCGAGCGAGATTCGAACCCAGGACCTACCAGTCTCGAGCCGAAGCCCTTAACCGATATACCACTGAGCTGGCATCCAACGGTGTTAATGTCTAACTTCAACTGATCCACGAAGTTGAGCAACCATTCACCAATTGTCTTCAGTGAGTTCCTATCTCACAACAGACGTGGTTTTGAACTCCACTGGTCACTGCTTCTCACTAGAGCTCCTAGATATACTTCTCGAAGTCACTAGTGAGCATATGATTATATTAATTACAGAAGGGGTTTTGTGGAGATTTAGTATTTACTATAGTTGAAAGCGTGAGTCAATTGAGGAGTCCCATAATAGGACGAAACGGCCGTCCAGTGTTTCCAGGTTTTCCATGGTGGTCTAGCTTCAATTGACTCACGCTTTCAACTATATTTAATCAGTTAAGATGACTATGAACAGTAACCAATGGAAAGAAAGGACACATAAAGGTTATAATTAGGACAACTCAAAATTGACCAATAGGAAAACGACACGTGAAAGTCATGGTTAGGACAACTGTAAATAATGACCAATAGGAAATAACATATGAAATATGTGGAAAGTCTGAAAACATACCACTTTACGTTCGAGATAATTTTTGGGATATTCCTGTGAATATCCTAACAACTTTCTTATTCGTAAATTAATTTATACATTAGTGGATTGGAGATCTAATTTACAGTTTGTTGCTAAGATAGTTCAGTTAAAATCAATTGTTTGTCCATTAGTTCGTAAGATTTAATACTGAAGCCATCTAAGTAATATCGATTGTATAATAAACACGTCACCAGATCTGCTCGGAATGCTGGTTGTGAACATAACTAAGCTAACAACCAGTCCGTTATATTGTACTGAAATGCCCTCTATTTTTTTGTTTCGGTCTGAAAGTGATGGTCTGCCACTAACTAACGACTAATGAATGAAATTTATGTTCATTGTTGTCTATTATACTGGGTAACAGTCCCTACACATCCAACAGCGATTATTCACAAGTTTCTATCTCTAAATATCATCATCTTGGTAGATCTCACCCCCTAATCACAATATGTAGCCCCAAACTGTTTCGTTTTATTCTTGAAACCCAAAATTATCTTGAGGGAATTACAATATGCAAAGGAAAAGAGGAAGACCGAAGAACACGTTACACCGAGAAATAGAGACAGACATGAGAGGAATGAACAAAAACTGGATAGAACTAGAAAAGAAGGCCTAGGACAGAGTGGGTTGGAGAATACTGGTCAGCGACCTGTGCTCCATTGGGAGTAACAGGCGTAAGTAAGTAAGTTATTACGCTAAGATGAGTAGATACAACGAGAAAATGAAATGACAAAACAGCTAAAGCGTAAGACTTTTGAGTAATTTTGAAAATGTTTTGAATAATAGAAACTCAGATAGTACAGGGTTCTTCTTATAAATTAAGTTTATAAGAAGGAAATGATATTAATTTGAAGAGAATTTTATAATTCCAATTATCCATGTCTCCAGCTTGTGTATTTATTGAACAAGAGGTGTATACTACTTCTGGTTAATAATGTAAATGTATAGTTGTAAAATACTAGTCTTTTCTTGTCATACACCTAAGATAGAGCTTGTGAGAGTACATTAACCTAAACTACAAAGAAAAATGTTAGTAATAAAAAAGTGAAGCAACTAGGAAGTTAGATCGCCTGACTTTGCAAATGGTTTTCAAACACTTTTTACTCAACCTTAAATATTTTACTGAAATCTTGTCCACTGACTATTTCCTAAACATTCTTTCATCACCAGTCACCCATATATTGAACTGACATTCAAGGAAACATAAAAGATCGGAAACGCTCAACGTTTCTACCAATACAGGATCTCGACGACCAATTAAAGTTAATAACATTAATAATTTCAATGTTTAAACTAATTAGAGTCATTTTGCGATGTAAACCTGTGCAATTTACCAGTCGCCATAACCTCCTATACTGATATACTTAGTTAGTTCTAAAGCACCTGCTTACTGATGACTTAAACGGCTATGTCCAACGAATGATGAGGAATCGTCCTACTGATCACACGCGGACCATTTTAGTTAAAGCTTTAGTAGGATATGCTCAAAAATGTGAACAGGAACTATTCTAATCTCTTGTTCCGTTGTACGTGCTCTGGCCTGTACACGTAAACTGATGGTGTAAATCATAAGTGATCTTGTTCACATCAATTAAAACTATTGACTGATGTATGCAGATTTAGATAGGGGCCAGCAGCGGAATCCATGACACATTTTTCGTCATATTTGGAATTCGTCAATTAGATGTACTCGCTCGCATCACTTCGGGACTCGAACTCAGTACTTTTCACTTCAAACATCATCTCATTATCACTTGGCTATTGCGTCCGATTACCAACTAGTATTTGCAGTGCGGTTTTTTGAGTCTTCCGATTGGTTTTTTGGACTGCAATTGATATTACCTTAAGTTACAAAACTTATAAACAGAGATGGATGATGGGTACAAGTGAAATCCAGAACGCTCATAGTAGTAGCTAAATGGATAACGCAATGACGTTTGAAGCGAACAGTACTGGTTTCGAGTCACGGACTAAACATCGACTGTGGGGGATAGGCACATTCAACTGACGAGTTCCAAGTACAACGAAATGCAAGTCTTGTATTTCATTTTTCCTACCCACCATCTATTTCTGCTTATAATTTTTGTGCAATATTGGGATGGTGCCCATAGGACGTCCATATACTAGAAGTGTCCTAAACAGTCCTAAACTTCAATGGAAATATTCAAACAACCAATACAAATGTTGATTCATATGTTTCAAATGTATATCAGTAAATATACACCGTATTTATGATATAAGTAAAACATATCTAAAAAAGAAAATGAAACCAGCGAATCGATTTTATATCAGAAAGGGCAAGATACTACCACCTTAGTTAAACATATGATCTTTTGTTATAGACTTCTCATCAAGAAACACCTGTTATTGGAGAATTGTCTGATATGTTTTTCTTCGATACAACTAATTATGAACAAATTGCAAATAATGATTCCATAAAATGTAAGTTGTAAACATTAAAGAATTTTTCATGTATATTACTGTTGTTACGTTTGCCTGAACATCGATTACCATGACGCGCTATGCTAACTAGTATTGGGGATAGTTGGAAAAAAGTTAGGGGCGGCCAAACCAAAACGTAGCACTACTGCTTGAAGTCACTAACTTCTAGTCTGAGCCATTTTGGCAGATGCAGACTACTTGGTTGGGGTCCGAGTGACTATCGTAACCAATGGTTGGAGACTGTGTGACATGGCTCAGATTCGATCACAATGGCGTAGGTGTATACACTCTTTATCTTCCCTTGAACCTTGAGATTAAAACTGCTTCATAACGTTCTTCCTCCTATACTATATCCTTATATTCAACCTTTCTTTTATATATTACCACCACTAAATTAACTATTTCTAAGAATTGGGTGTTGATGTTGTTGTGCTAACGAAGTATGGCAACTTGGACCGATGCATAAATGTGCCTGATCCTACGTTGTTAGCTGACTGACTGTTGTTTCATTCTAATTAATTAGCTTTATACATAATGTTTTAGTACAGTGAATAATTTTTTCGGGTTAGCGTTTTTTTAGCGAGTTGGTTTTCTACAGGATGGGTCGGTAACCTCATGCCCAACCCTCCTACTTTATCCGGGCTTGAGTCCGACAGTAGTCCCCGGAGGAGCTACAGGCGGAGCTTTTAGTTACAGTACACAATCTAATTATTTTACTGAATACCTATTGGATAAGTTAAATGAGACTTGTATAATCCATATAAAATGCTATGATAGAATAAAAACTGATCTACTATTGTGAAAGTTATCTTCACTGAAGTTAATTTCAAATTAATCTGAATAGAAACGAGTAAAATATTCATATTCATACAAAGTATAACTGACTTCAATGGATAGAGTTAGAAAAAACAACAGCCTGTTTGAACATCTAGACTACTTGTTCCTGACATCTAGATATTCCATCAAGTTATTTGTTTTGTCTATTTATCGCATAACCCATCCAGATGCGTTTATGAAATGTTTACGACCTTTCACTGTACAAGTTACAAAAAAGTATAATCAAAGACATCGTGATGACTGACAATATGTAGTGGAAAAAATGTACAAACTTGAAATGTCTATTCATTTACTGCTAGCATTCAACTGGGGAGATTGTAGATACTCTTTGTTGAAAATAATCCAAACAGTATGAAACTTGACTTCAAGACTTACTGGCAGTATATTTCAACTAGAATTAAAAGAATACTAAGGATTAAACAAAATCTTATCATTTTTAAATCAAACAACATTAGTGTTTAGTAGCTAGATGAATTGTTTAAAATAATACTTATTCAATAATGACTTCTTACAGTCTGTTCATTTATTGTAAGCCCTCTTAATTATGATATTATGAAATAAGTTTGTATCTTGTATTTCAAAAGGTAACCAGTAATAATATGAATCTTATTTGATGCGGCCTATAGCTAGAGAGACTAATTAATATGCACTTCTGCTAGAAGTTTTTTGCTAATTGTACCTTCTAGAAGGATGATGAAACCTTTAAATGAAACTCTATCAATGTATTTCATTCTTAATCAATGCTAAACTATATTGAACACGCGTTCTAAGAAAAGATTGATAGTGGCTAGCAGTAGAATCCAGGACGGGTGTTTCATCCTATTTGATAGTCGTCAGCTGGATGTACCTGAATCTCGGATTTGATGTTTACTCTGCGACTCTAACCCAGTACCGTTCGCCCTAAACGCGATCGCATTATATTAAATACGTATACTAAATACAATGATTGTTATATTTCAAGTCATAAGTAGAATATTATCGTACTACCTCTTAACCAGTAAATTTACTTCCAGTAATCCACACTTTTAACTTCAAACTATTAAAATGAATAAACGATTGTCACTCATCACTAACTGATGATAACAATCTCTCATCTAAATGAGCTCAGTTCTGTCGTTAACGGTTTTTCACTAACACTATAAGAATTCAAATTCATTGAGTATTGTTTTGTTTGAATCTTCCCATCGATTTTTTAATACTGCAACTGGTCAGTCTCTAATTGGCATATGTGCATACTGTGCGTATTGTCTGGATATGGCTTAAATTCACAATCATGGTAAGCAAAGATGGATAGTGGCTAGCAGTGGAATCCAGTTTGATGCGTGTTTCGTCCTATTTGGGACTCGTCAGCTGGATGTACCTGCATCTGAGCGTTGATGTTCACTCTGGCCGAGTGGATAACGCGATGGTGTTTGAAGCGAAGATACTGGGTTCAAGTCCCAGAGTGAATATCAACTCATAGATGCAGGTACATCCAGCTGACGAGTCCCAAATAGGACGAAACCCACGTCCTGGATTCCACTGCTAGCCACTGTCCATCTCCACTTACTATAAGAATTCCTTTTAAAATAAGTTAATAATGAGTTCATGATTGTTACAAACAAAAGTGATTTGTAAAGATTCTTCAGTTTATGGTTTACAATCTAGATCATTCGAAATACAATAAACTATTTGTCCATTGCTATTTAATTTTTAAATGTTAATTGACAAGTCTTGCTAATTGAATGCTATATTCGGATCCTAAGTTAGTCTCGTAATCCGCCAAGTTAAATCTACACAGAGACTTGAACACTAGAGAAAAGGCGCGAAATATACGAGAAGCACTTTACTCCAAAGGTTCATTCATGTACAGAAAATATAGGGTTTTTATAGTATTTTAGAAGTCCTTGGGTTTTCCTGAAAATTCTGGAATACTACTAAACATAGTAGCGGTGTAGTAATTAGCCAATCATGTGAGTTTCTACTTTCGTGATGTTTCTGGCAAGATTTCTACTAAACGCTAATTGGATAAAATCTTTCTTAGTGTTTCCTGAGCCTTTTTTGTCTATTGCAAGAAAGTTTTTAGATCACCTCAACATTTAACTAGATAAAATTAATCCATTCCATTTCTTTTGTTCTTTTTGTTTTTGATATACTGTTCTCCTTTTCTTCTTCGTCTTCTCAATTTCAGCTAATATATCATCACTTAATATGAATCGTAAAATGTCATCACTCTCATCAATAACATCGTCATCATCAACTCGAGGTATAAAAAGTGATCTAAAACTTGATCATTCATATATTAATAATAATACACATAATTCCTCAACATCACCAGTTGTTATAGTCGGTGGTACACATACAGAAACGAATCATCCTACAATGACAATGAGAAATTTTCAATATCAATCTAAAGCTAAATTAGATTTATATGATCATTCTAATTTAAAAGATAAAAGAAATACAACTATTAATAGTATTACTAATAGAACTATTAATAATAGTATGAACAATACTACTCATAACAACAATACTACTAATAAACATTATCATCAAGATCATATACATTTACATCCATATTATACCATTATTATGTCAGAATCTGAAGCATCACGTGCTATTGGTACTGGTGCCGGGGATTTAGTACAATTAACAAGAAATTCATTAATACAAATATGTCCTAGTCCATCAAGAGCTGATAGTAGTAATTTAAATCCATTAGATATATGGGCATGGGGTGGACAAATTGTAACATTAAATTATCAAACAGCTGGTTTAATTATGGATTTAGCTACTGGATTTTTTGCACGTAATGGTGCTTGTGGTTATGTATTAAAACCTAATTTATATCGTCAATATTCATCATTTTTTACACCATATAAATCAAATTTATTAAATATTACTGAAAGACCACCAGATACTACACCACAGGTAATAAATAAATGGATTTACTTTGGTTGTTTATAAAATATTTTCATAGTTGAAAGCGTTAGTCAATTGAAGCTAGACAACCATTGAAAACATGGAAACACTGGACGACCGTTTCGTTCTATTGTGGAACTCCTCAGCAGTGCGCATCCCCGATCCTGCACTCGCGTGAGATTCGAACCCAGGACCTGCCAGTCTCGAGCCAGAGCCCTTAACTGGTAGACCACTGAGCCGGCATCCAATGGTGTCCCATAATAGGACAAAACGGCCGTCCAGTGCTTACAGGTTTTCCACGGTTGTCTAGCTCCAATTGACTAACGCTTTCAACTATGAAAATACTGAATCTCCACAAAACCCCCTTCTGATAATTATTATAAAATATTGTTTGTTGTAATGATTGGATTAATGAAATAGATAATCTTGAAATAAGCGAGACTATAATGTATGAACGAGTCAATCAAAAGAGTCTGAAGGATTTCAAGGTCACAGCGGCAATTTCAGTACCTCATGCTGATGTACGATCGGTTCACAGAGGATTTTAGATAAGACTTGACAATTAAGCGTTTACAATAATTGGGACTATTAGGAAGTTCTTTTATTTATAATTGCAGTGATCAGATAACTTGTAGACCTTATGCAGACTACCGTGATGTTGTCTTTCCATTTAACATATTTTGAAAGAAGACTTTTGCTAGAATAGGGACTTTTTTCGCTCGATCGAGATTGAGACAAAGGCAAATTATAATAATTGTCGCGAACTCTATAACAAAAGCACCATTAAAATTGGCCGCAATAATCGCAGATGTCATTGAAGCTTCGGATGTTCAGTGGTATGAGTATTGTAGGGACACATCCATAATAAAAATGATAAATTTACACAACCGGAGTACGCAAACAATATTGAAGCTATGTGGTGGAGGTCGAGAGAGTTTTTGTGACCTTATCATGTCTCCAGAGACTGAGTATTATGGATCCAAATGGATGAGTTCCTCTACCTTACGCATTACGATTTTGTCACCTTTGAACCTTTTTCTAATCTTGACAAGTTTTTGGACCATATAAAAGAATTGTATCCACTTTAATTATTTGTTTTTTTATAATATATTTTCACTCTATACTGACTGTTTACTGATTTTCTAATATTTCTCAAGATCACCCGATTTGTTCAAAGGTCGTTCATAAATTATAATTTCGCCTATTCAGTTGAAATTTGATAACTGAATCGTTTATACTGAAGGGAAATAGTATGACTGTGTTAAGGATACATAACTGATTAGCTAGATTGATGTGAATTGTACAACCAGGTGATTATTACTTATGTAAACCAAATATCAGTAAAGTGTTATGGAGAACACTATTGAATTTCTCGAACAGATTAAAGTTAGAAAACCATTGAAAATCTGGAATAATTGGACGACCGTTTCGTTTTAGTATGGGACTTTGCATCAGTGAACATCCACAATCCTGCAAGCAGATGTCGAACCTAGAACCTTCAGTTTTGTGCAAGAACGCTTAACCTATGATGATTGACACACAGTTCCTCCTCCTTTCTAGTGAGTGAACTAGTGATCAAGAAGGATAGTTACTTTATGTAATGAAATGATAAATATGTGCTGAAAATACTAAACATGAAAGTAGAAACAATCAAAATTCATTCAATACAAAATATGATTACAGAATACCGTATTTTGTAGGAAATCCATTGATCTATTAAATGAAGAGGGAATGATGAAATCATTAATGAGCGATTTTAATAGATTACTGTAATTTGTAGATTATGAACGTCACTAATTAGTCTCAGTAGGGATACCAGGGAGCACATATTAATTACCTTGTCCCATAATATGAGTTTGCATTAGTGAGCACCCACAATTTTTTTAGGAAAAAAAAACTCAGGATCTTCAGATACTCTAACTGATCTCAAGCCTTGATAATCAACTATGAATTAGCCAGACTTCCAAAAGTTCTCTAAACCAAAGCATAACTATTCGGTAACTTGAAGTTTGCAAAAAGATCGATTATCGATATTCCAGGACGGATTCTTTGCCGTTATCCAACCATTTTAGAAGTATAAAGATTATCACTGACGCCATCGGATGATTGTCATACGATACCGTGAATTGACTCATGTTTGAAAAGGTTGACTATTCGATCCCAAATCACTAGTCTGAAATTTAAGCACTCGCCACATGATAAGAAGACATTGGTTTCGTTATTTGATGGGGTCATCCGTACATACTGCTGAGCAGTCACATTATTGGAGGTAATAAACATGTACTGTGATCCCTGATTTTCAGTGCTAAGTTATAACAAAATCCACTTGCAGATCGAGCTAATTATTACAAGTAATTCGAAATGTAATAATAGAATATTATTTTCAGTTACACTAATATATTTTATCTAGGTACTTCGGCTGAAAATTGTCAGTGCACAGCAACTACCTAAGCCGAGGGGATCAGTTTCAAAAGGGGATACAATTGAACCATATGTTGTGGTAGAAATTCATGGTATTCCAGTGGATTGTGCTGAACAACGTACGGTCACTGCACCAGCTGGTAGTGCATCCGGTTATAATGCAATATTTGAGGATACTTTTGAATTTTGTGTACAGCTAGGTAGTCTGGCATTAGTACGCTTTGTCGTATTAGATGATCATGCAATTGGTGATGATTTTATCGGACAAAATACAGTACCATTTGATTGTTTACTTACAGGTAATTGAAGAATTTTTCCAATTCTCTAATTGTTAACTATATTTGTGAATATTTTCATAAGATTATGATAACAGAGTTCTGTTAGTTGAAGAAATATAGCAAAACCCAAGCACCTGCTCCCCGTGAATTATTTTTTACCTTGGTTGTATTAAATACTCGAGACTTCAAATTTTCCAGCAGCCGAAATACCTTCACATAAGTGGATTTAATTTTTCATAGAGTTTTAGATAGGTACTCCTGAAAAGTAAGTAATAGTGAGGTTAGACACAGGATATTAAGAAATGATGGTAAATCAGTTGATGAGGTGATGAATCTTCATCGACTGAGATGGTTAGGCCACGTGCTACGTATGCTTGAACACCGATTACCATGACGCGCTATGCTGACTAGTGTAGGGGATGGTTGGAAAAGAGTTAGCGGTGGCCAAACCAAAACGTAGCATCAGTGCTTGAAGTCACTAACTTCTAGTCTGAGCCATTTTGGCAGACGCAGACTACTTGGTTGGGGTCCGAGTGACTATCGTAACCAATGGTTGGAGACTGTGTGTGACATGGCTCAGATTCGATCACAATGGCGTAGGTGTATACACTCTTTATCTTCCGTTAAACTTAAAATTAAAATTGCTTCATAACGTTCTTCCTCCTATACTATATCCTTATATTCAACTTATCTTTCATAAACTACCACCACTAAATTAACTATTTCTAAGAATTGGGTGTTGATGTTGTTGTGCTAACGAAGTATGACAACTTGGACCGATGCATAAATGTGCCTGATCCTACGTTGTAGCTGACTGACTGACTCCTGAAAAGTCGGATATTAGGAAAGGACAGTTGATTATTTCTATTTGATTTTTAGTGAATCTGCAGTTAACATTAATGCTTGTCACTACTCCTCTGCACTTTGTACATGCAATCTTGATAGAATTGATGCTGATGTAGAGAATCGAGTCCCTGTAATAGTCCAACATAAATAATGAACTCTTTTGGTCATGTTTGACCAACTATCGGCCTGAGATCACTTTATTCACTTATCATTTTTTAGTAATCAATATCACACCATCTAATCTTGAGCGCTAATCGAACTTCAACAACCAAGTTGTGGTTTGCTTATTACGTCAAGTGACTTGACATCATGATATTTTCTTTTCTGTTACTAAGGTGTTCAAAATGATCAATACGACAACTTGAACCTTAGTTTCATGCCACGTTGGTTCCCATTTCATATGATTCATAGGATACATCTTGTTACTGAGTGCTAGCTACTAGATAACTCTGTTGTATGACTTCACTATTGATTACCTGTAGAAATACCTAACACTTGAACAAAGCAAACCAAATATTAGCCGCAGTCAGAATTAATCATTGGTAACATATCAGGTTGTCAAGTTAGATGGACCATGTTCATATACCACAGGAACCATCAACTCCTATAAGATTGTAGATATACCTTTCTGACAAGCATCAACTAGCATGAAACCTAGATTTACGCATTCCTGCTAATTGTCTCCAACCACCTAACAAATCATACTTATTTTTATTAAATCACTTAATATAGTATAACCATTTTACGTCTTAAACTCATAGAATCCTATTAATGTCATGGATTAGGTAAGAAAAAGACACTGATTATTACTACAAAGGCGATCAAGCAATGTAAAAATTAATTTTATTGAAAAGCAAAAAATATTAAGCCAAATAGATATCAATACCAAGGTTAGACTTGATAGTATCAAACAAACTGACCAATGAGTAGAAAAATTGTATGTTTGATGTTTCATGACTTTGTATAACCCACCACTCTGAAGAAGTAGCTTACATTAAGTCACGAAACATCAGAAATACAGTTTTTCTACTCACTGGAATATAACCACAAAATATATATATGTTTATTATAAAGCCAAATATCATTGACCATTTTCTTTATTCCCTTATCTCATTCTATATTCTAATTCGTTAGGATTTTATCTATTTATTTATAGTTGAAATCATGAATCAATTGAAGCTAAACCACCATGGAAAACGTGGAAGTGCTGGACGGCCGTTTCGTTCTATTGAAAGACTCCTCGACAGTGCGCGTCCACGATCCCGCTTCGCGAGATTCGAACCCAGGATCTACCAGTCTCGCGCACGTGGATGCGTACTGCTGAGGAGTCCCATAATAGGACGAAACGGCCATCCAGTGCTTTCAGATTTTCCATGGTGATCTAGCTTCAATTGACTCATACTTTCAACTATAAAATTACTGAATTCTTCACAAAACCCCTTCTGACTATTTATTTATTTTTCAAAGTTGAAATCATAAGTCGATTGAAGCTAGACCACCATGGAAAACCTGGAAGCACTGGACGACCGTTTCGTCCAATTATGGGACTCCTCATTAGTGCGCATCCACGATCCCGCCTCACGAAATTCGAACCCAGGATCTATCAGTCTCAAGCCGAAGCCCTTAATCGATATTTAATAATTATTTTTATCATTAAATTTTGTTAGTGTGTAACCATGATGATTATTTCTTATACCTTAGAGATAAAAAACTATTCCTATAACTATAGATTATTACTTTTACTATTCCTTCATTCTCCTATCATGTCATATTCTCATGGATAACTGAAAATTCTTTCTCTTATCAATAAACATGTGAATAGTAATCAGATTTTCTATTCTTTAATTACCTTTATCATTATCTTATGTAAATATTAGTGTTTTCCAATGCTATCCATTATCCATCTTTGCTTACCATAATTGTGAATTAAAGGCTATATCGAGGCAATACGCATAGTATGCACATATGCCAATTAGAGACTGATCAATTACAGTCCTAAAAACATCAATGGGAAGGTTCAAACAAACAATACTAAGTATATTAGTGTTTTTGTTTATAATATTAGAGAAGAGAATTATACCATAAAAGGATTTATTTAGATAATGTATGTTTATTTGTAGTTTGTTTGAACGCATATTAGTTATATTCACTTGGTGTTGTTTACTTGTCCCAGAATAAACATCAACTCTAAGATGCAGGTACATCCAGCTGACGAGTCCCAAATAGGATGAAACGCTCATTCTCGACTCCATTACTAGCCACTATATATCTTTGCTTACATATCAGTTACATTCTAATTCATTCAGCTTATATATTATTGATAACAAGTAACATACGAATTCATTGTATTTAAACTATTAATTAGATTTGTAACCAAGTTAAATACTTTGGTGGGGGGTAGGGGAAAGTTGTATCCTCTGGGATAAATGATTAGATAGCAAAGCTTTCATTGACCTTCTGACTAAATTATTACAGTTATTCTAGAAAATGTTAAATCGACTAATTTGGATCATCTAATTTGTAGTTGTCTGTCTTGATAGGATTTGTTGTTTTCATTATTCTTCTTATTAACTGTCTTGCTTAGTTCACTTCTGACCATTTGATTAATTGACCCCTGCCATATAAACTGATAGATTGAATAGGTATCAATACGTTGGCTTCTAAACTTTTATGTTGATTTGAATGTCACATTTTCGAAAAGTTTGTGAATTTCTCAAGGTTTCATCAACTCGGAATTTTAGAGTTTTTCGTGTCAAATAAATCTGAATGGTTGCCTTTATTAATTGACACTATTCCTAATATATCATACTGTTTCACTCCTAGACAGTGTTCCTGTATATACAGATGACGAGGATGTTCACTTTCTCCAATGTAATTCAATCTCAGTACATACGTTTGTGCTTCTGAAGTGTCTCGTTTAATCAACTTATTTTTATGGTGCTTTCTTTTCTCACGACTGTATTTGAGCATTACTTAAAACTTTCTTGTTTATAAGAATAAAGTAAAATGTTTTTACAACTTGTGGCCGAGTGGATTCCCTGTTAATCTATGACGTGATAAGACGGCCAATCAGAGAGCAGCGAATTATCGATTGGATCAGTGACACACGAAAACCGTACGAGCAGTCTACAGTGCTTATCGGTCCCGCTTCTGCCTAGCCCAGACAGTTAAGTCCAGAACAGCCTCTGTGGTGTGAATCATTATATTTTAAACATACTGAGTTTATATACCAAACAGACTGACCACATCGTACCAATAAAATAGAAAATAACATTTGTACAACATTTAGCCAAATGTGTCTGTGAATGTGTGAGACAGCAATTGATAAACTAGGGATAATTCAAGAATGGTAAATCGTATAATAATAGTCTATGGGTCACAATAAACCTTATAATAAGGGGAACATGAATATGAGCAGTTTAGTTATTTAGCAATTATACGATAAAAAATATATGCATAATACGGGTCCATAAATGAATCCCAAAGTTACCATTCACCATTGTTATCGGGACATAACAAAAGTCATTAAGAGGACACAAAGTACTATCGTATGTAATACTTCAGATAACGTAAACATTGATAACTTTATTGAAATCGGTTTTTCTATGCTTAGTAGTTTAGTTATGAAACTTTATTTATATTGATAGATAACATCATTTACTTAAACATAAGATAAAAACTTCCATAATCAATTTGTGGGAACAATGTTGTCTAGAAACATGGTAACAGTTTCATGACTAAGCTAGCAACCGTAAAGAAAATAACGTAGTATTGTTTGTTTGAATCTTCCCATCGATGTTCTAGGACTGAAAATGGTCAGTCTCTAATTGGCATATGTGCATACTGTGCATATTACATTCATATAGCCTAAATTCACAATCATGGTAAGCAAAGATGAATAGTGACTAGCAGTGGAATCCAGTTTGACGCGTGTTTCGTCCTATTTGGGACTCGTCAGCTGGATGTACCTGCATGTCAGAGTTGATATTCACTCTGGGACTCGAACCCAGTACCTTTCGCTTCAAATGCCATCGCGTTATCCATTCGGCCACTGAAAATGATTTCAATAAAATAGCCCTCTTGAATTAAAAATTGTAACTAACATTTTGAAATCGTTGAGTTTCTTTTATTTGTAATTCATTATTTGATTAAGCTGTAACGCAGTAGTGTGCTGTGTATAAAGTACTTGGATGCAATTTTTTGTTAGTATTGTTATCATAGTGATATATTTTAGTAAATAAATTAACCTATCATTGAACAGTAATTTATATTAACCGATGTGAATTGTAGTCAAGTGACTATCCTCTGACATTGACGAATAGAATTCATTCGAGGTTTCATATTTAAAGGATTGATCCAGATTTTTTCAGCATTACAAGTCTATTATTTTCATATACGTTAATTATTCGCCACAACATCAAAGTTAAATAGGATACTTAACCGATAGACCACTGAGCCGGCATCCAACGGTGTTAAGGTCTAACTTCAACCAATCCACGAAGTTTGAGCTACTTCGTGGATTGGTTGAAGTTAGACAATAACACCGTTGGATGCCGGCTCAGTGGTCCATCAGTTAAGTGCTCTGGCGCGAGACTGGTGGTTCCTGGGTTCGAATCTCGCGAGTGCGGGATCGTGGATGCGCACTGCTGAGGAGTCTCATAATAGGACGAAACGGCCGTTCAGTGCTTCCAGGTTTTCTATGGTGGTCTAGCTTCAATCGACTCATGATTTCAACTATGAAAAATACTGAAATCTCCACAAAACCCCTTCTGAAATAGGATAGTCATTGAGATTAACTTGAGTTTGAACAATTTGATATCTTGAAAACATCATAAAGACTCATTCTTGAGTGCAGAAATGTGAATGCAATATTTCTTAGCGAATTTCAATGTGACTGTCTAATTGCCTAATATTGAGAATTGAATATAATTAAGTTTTTGAAATTCTTTACATAGTAGATCGCATGTGATACTGAAAACTATCTCCAAAGATTTTAATATAAAAAGCAACATTTCCATAAAGTGATCTTAAATGATTTACTCTCTGGATGATTTTATGTCTATTTCCAAATTATTTAGCTGGTTGCACGTAATCCGATCCCCGTTAGTTGATGAATTACCATGACACTTTCTTACTTGTTGTTTAGCGAGGTTGAATGAACAACAAACTTTACTTTACAGCATATGAAATTGAAGTGAAATCAATTACAGTACTACGTTAATTTCATTTTCAAAGAAATTAGTTGGGGAGAATGTAACTAATCATAGTGAAACATCAGTATTTGTTCGATAGTTGGTGAGACAAATACACACACTTACTTACTTACTTGCGACTATTACCCCTCGCGGAGGAGCATAGGCCGCTCACCAGCATTCTTCATCCAACTCTGTCCTGGGCAATCCTTTCTAGTTCGTTCCACTTGTTATTCATCCTTTTCATATCTGCTTTTATTTAATGTGTTCTTTGGCCTTCCACTATTCCGCTTCCCTTCCGGATTCCAAGTTAGGGATTGCCTTGTAATGCACATTGGTGATTTCCTTAATGTATGTCCAATCCACTTCCAAAGTCTTTACCTAATTTCCTCTTCAGCTGGAAGCTGGTTTTAATACACACTCACACACATAAATCAGATAGTATGTAAAGTATCCGAATAAGTTTAATCTTTTCCTTTCCTTTAACTTTTATTATTATACAAAATTATTACGACTAATTTTTTCCCGTTTTAGGTTTCCGACATGTCCGTTTACGTAGCGACACTGGTGAGCCCATCCCACTTGCTACTTTATTTGTACACATTACTATCACAACTAGAACAGATAATTCACATAGGGTAAGAAAAGTATTTGTTATTATCATGATTATTTCGATTGATACTTTTTGTCTAATGAAATAAACAACAAGAAGATAGTCAGTTGAATATTACTTACTACTTACTTTTGCCTGATACTCCCAATGAGCATAGGCCACCAACCAGCATTCTCCAACCCACTTTGTCCTCGGAGTCGGCTGGATACAGTTGATTTAATCATGTGGTTTGTGAGGATTTATTGCATTCTTGAATATAGTTATTTTCATAGACTAATATTAGTTTAATAACTATTAATAAGCTAAAAGCTCTGGATATTTGTTATATAACTGCCTTGAGAAAAAACGTGATGTTCATGACACTAAGTACGCTGATTGTCCCACCTGACTTCTTCGGTTCTAGCCTCTCCAGTCAGAACACAGAAATAGTCAGATTATTTACTGTGTATATTTTATGACTCAAAATCCATAAGATATTATCCACCAACTACAAGACTCTAGTCCTAGATTTTGTGCTGGCTGGCACTCATCAGACAGCCTTACGTGGAATCTCGAGCGAATCAATACTCCCTACTGGATATGAACAAACCACACTCAGCTTTATACCGCCATGAAAAATAACATTATAAAAAGCTCCAATGAGAAGCCGTGACCGCTGGAATTGAAGCATGTAGGACATGAGGTAATTACCTACCACTAACAATGGAAGACACTTCCTCAGTATCTCAAATCAACTGCGGTTACAAATTTAAATTATTGTTTGTTAACTTAGTTATCTAAAGTCTAAGTGTTTGAGACCAGGTTTAAAGATTCTAGGTTCAACCCTCCGTGGGATCATGGATCAGTTCAGTTTGAAAAGGACAGGAGGCTTGATGGCCTGTGTTAGTCCTTGCAATGATGGTCTCTCAGCTGATATAACTTTCTTTTGAAAGATTCGACGGATGGAGCCTTGTAGAGGATTAATTCCTCTATATTTGACTCCAATAAAATGTATAATATCCCGCTAACTGATATTTTACTGCAGGCTAAATCTCCTAGTAGAATTACGGGTTTACTCGAGATTATTGAAAAGCCTGAACACCAGTTATAGAGATAGTTTATTGTTGAAGCTCGGTAAAATCCGCAAGTGTACAGATAGCAAGCACACAGGGAAAACAAGTCAGTGTGTGTGTGTGAGTGTTAAAAATCCATATATATTTATGAGTGCTAATGGATTGTGGATAAATTATTGATTGTCTTTGTTTACAACCAATGAGAGAATAGATTAAAGTCCATGTGCAGACACATGCGCTCAATCAGACTCACACATAAATTTACCAAAATGGATTAAATATTAAGATTACAGAGAGCACACAAAAAATACATTAGTTGAATGGGCTTGCTACAGCCTCAACCACATGCTCAGGTAATGAATTCCACTCGTTGATGATTCGATGGGAATGTCAATAGTCAGCTGACAAGTAATTTGTTCTGGGCTTGTGAACATTTTTGGAGTGTCCTGTTTTGATCTGGGAGACAAGAAAAGTGAGGGCATATCATGTGCAAATTTATTACTAAGCAATTTGAAAACTGTAATCAAGTCGTCTATGATTCTCCGATATGACAGCGGGAATGGGTTTAGCATGGTCAGTCTAGTACCATACAGGAGCTTCGCTATTCTGGGAATCAGCCTAGTTGCTGTCCTCTGAACCTTTTCCTAGAGTTTACTGTCTTTTTTTAGGCAGGGGTTAGCTGCTTGTATGCAGGACTCAAGTTTAGGACGCACGAACACTGTATACAAAGTCAGAAACGTTTTAGCGTCGAAATGACTAAAAGCCCTGCGTATGGACCATAAAGTTCCGAAACCTTTGGCGGCTATTACACGGCAGTGTGCAGTAGTCTTTAAGTCTTGACTAACAATGACGCCTAAGTCATTGTGTGTCTGGACAATAGGTAGCTCAGTGTTATTCATCGTGTATGTATCTGTACCTTGATGGCCAATATGCATCACAATACACTTGGAACTATTTATCGGCAATTGCCAGGTTTGAGACCATTCAGATAATTTCTCCAGGTCGTTTTCGAGTTCTAAGCTATCACCCTTACTTTGTATCGCTCTCCATATCTTGACGTCGTCGGCATAGAACAAGACTGATGACGATAATAGATGAGGGAGGTCATTTACATACAAGAGGAATAACACTGACACCAAAACTTTACCCTGGGGGACTCCACTAAGCACAGTTTCCCAGCTAGACAACTTGGAGTTCACCCGTACTCTTTGTTGACACCCAACTAGGAAGTCTTTTATCCACATCAATAGATTGCCTCCAATCCCGACATTCCTGTGATGAAACATTTATCTTATGCTTCCTGGTTTTCAATGATTATCTTCCTAAAATCTGTTTCTGATGCCAACCACATTATAAACAACATAATGTTGAAGATAGGGAATCCGCTTTCAAAACTTCAAAAGAAGAAACAAGTCAGTAGAATTTTTTTCTCAACAAAATTGTATTGATAAACGAAATAGATAAATATTCATCCTTTATTGTGGGAACGAGATAAAGATGATAATCTGTGTGCATACTGTGAGATGGTGAATTGTGTTTTATTTTGATAATTACCTATGTTTTATAAGAACTTTTAAAAGATGGATGAATGAATGTGTTATATTCACTTTTTAAATTGGGAAATAGTTTATATCAGAAGGGGTTTGGTGGAGGTTTTAGTAATTTTATAGAGTTGAGATCATGAGTCAATTGAAGCTAGACCTCCATAGAAAACCTGGAAGCAGTGGACGGCCGTTTCGTCCTACTATGGGACACCTCAGCAGTGCGCATCCATGATCCCGCACTCGCGAGATTCGAACTCAGGACCTACCAGTCTCGCGCCAGAGCACTTAACCGATAAACCACTGCTGAGGAGTCAAATAATAGGACGAAACGGCCGTTCAATGCTTCCAGGTTTTCGATGGTGGTCTAGCTTCAATTGACTCATGATCTCAACTCTATAAAATAGTTTGTAGTATCAGTTTATATGTTAAGCCCATATACTTTATTCTAGCTTTTGGTCAAGCTAATTCACCTATACATTATGCGTCATATTTTGATCTTGTTAATTATTCGCTTATTAACCTTGACTATATTTTTATATGAGCGTATATGTGTACCCCTCGTATCCTATTCATCATATGTCTGTCATTCATTTCTGTCTGATTATAAGTATTGAGTAATACTTGCTCATATCGAGTTGGCTTCCCAGCCATCACCAATACTCATTATTTTCGCTTCACTCTCTAGTTGGCTTCCCCGCCAATCTCCAACACGCATTATTTTTGCTTCACTCTCGAGTTGGCTTCCCAGCCATCTCCACTAAACTGTAGTTGCTGCTATCCTTTGTCTTCTGATTTTACGCGCCATTAAGATTAGAATTATAACGGTTATCGAAACGAATGATTAACGAATCGCGGCACTACAAGTTTATATCACTGACTGATTTTGCCTGGACAACCAAAGTAAACCACCAAGTAACAAGTTGGTTATGGATCCTATCCATGACCTTCAGATTTCATGAGTTGTATGTCATATTCAATCCATGCAGTTAGAATCTATTAATCTATAGTTCCATTCTCAATAAAGCCATGGTATTTCCATTGATAGTATTCATATTGACTCAGAAATGATTGAACTATATTAGTCGCAACATCTCATTAGAGTTTGGTTGATCGTCACATAATGTCACAAATTGACTGACGTTGGAAATGAGAATCCTTTATACTTAGCTACTCAGTATTTTGAAGATAATTTGTTTACGGTGCGACTTTTAGACTCTGAGTTTGTAGCATGGTTGGATTGTATGTGGACATTGATGGGGGCTATCAAAAGCTGTTTGCTGCCTCATATGTTTCAAGAATTCTCAATCTAGATTTCGTTTGTAATCTAGAATATTCTTTGAAATCTGTTAATCTTCACAAATCATAGAATGTTTTAAACTACTCGTTCAGTTTAATATCCTTTAATGTCTACATTAATCTGCTTAGAATTAACTAAACAAGTCAGAACGTCAATGTATGTAGAATTTACAATAAACTCATCAAGCTATTCTTTTCTCCTTAAAGATAAATTTGAGTCGAACTTAATAAAATCTAATTATAATTATAAACAAAGATGTGATAGTGGTTAACAGTGAAATCCAGGATGCACGTTTCATCCTATTTGGGACTCATCAGCTGAATGTAGCTACATAGGATGGAACGCACTTCCTGGATTCCACTAATGGCTATCATCCATTTTTGATTGCAATGCTTGTGACTTAACCCAATATCGAGGTGATCCACAAAGTATGCACATATGTCAATAAGAGACTGATCAATTGCAGTTCTAAACATTAATTGGAAGATTCAAGTAAACAATACCAAGTGAATCTAATTATAAATAATTAAATTTATTAGTTTGTAAGTAACTGAAAGGAAGAAAGCAACGGAACACATAGAATTCATTACATTTAACGAGGAATTCCAGTTAATTATCAGCAACATAGAACCTGGGACATATGTGCTACGTTTCAAATTGTCATATCATATCAATATACAAAGATGAAACTATCATGACAAATCTCAGAACCGATCAATTTTAGACCACCATTAAAAACCTAGAAGTACTGGATGGCCGTTTTTTCTTAGTACAGGATTCTTTATTACAAGAGAAAAAAGGCCTGGGGTTCGAGTCCCGCGTGCTCAAGCCAAAATTTATTCATTCAACATTCTCTAACAGTGACTTTGGTGAGTTCTATTTTCAAATGACTAAATGGAAGTAGATAGATCGGGTATTCTTAACTGAAACTTAGTAGTCGACGTCTAATGGATTAATTACATAATCACTATTCCAATTTTCACTATGTGTAATCAATAATAACCAACATTTTATGTTAGTTATTAGTATCTTCGACAATTTTCTACTCCAGATTTTGTTTCATGCTGCTAAATACGTCATAAACTCAACCTTAACAGACAATTCATTCTATTATTTAACAAACCATTATCATCTTTTCGTTATGATTTTGTATTACTTATCAATGTATATAAGTAGTAATATTTTTCCATAAGAATTTCTTACCTTCAAGTCATATGGCATATTTTTTTCTGCTAATATTCCGTGACTCTGCAAAGTTTATGGTTCTAGGAGCAGCAATTATATTTGTTTCTGATTCGTGTGTTATCAGTATAAACCCTTGATTTAAGTCCTAAATCCACTGAGTTTTATCAGTAGAACAAATGAATTTGACAACTGGTACCTACTTACGCCTGTCACCCCTCGTCGAGAAGCATAGGCCGATCACCAGCATTCTCCATCCAACTCTGTCCTGGGCCTTCCTTTCCAGTTCTATCCAGTTGCTATTCATCCTTTTCATATCTGCTTTTATTTCCCGGCGTAATGTGTTCTGTGGCCTTCCTCTTTTCCGCTTCCCTTCCGGATTCCCAGTTAAGGATTGCCTTGTAATGCACATTGATGATTTCCTTAAGGTATGTCCTATCCACTTCCAACGTCTTTTCCTAATTTCCTCTTCAGATGGAAGCTGGTTTTCCTCTCCCATAAAACGCTGTTGCTGATAGTATCCGGCCAATGGATGTTGAGTATTTTGCGTAAACAGCTGTTTATAAGTACTTGTACCTTCTTGACGATGGATGTAGTAGTTCTCCACGTTTCAGTCCCATACAGTAGAACTGACTGTCTTGACGTTTGCATTGAAGATTCTCACTTTGAATTTAGTTGACAGTTGTTTTGAGTTCCATATATTCTTAAATTGTGGAAATGCTGCCCTTGCTTTGTCAATCCTCACCTTTACATCTGCATCCGATCCTCTTGTTTATCAACGATGCTTCCCAGTTACGTGAATGTCTCCACATCTTCCAGAGTTTCACCATCAAGTATGATTTGGTTGGTGTTCTCCGTGTTGTATTTGAGAATCTTGTTTTTTCTTTTGTGTATGTTGAGATCTATTGATGCAGAGGTTGCTGCTACATTTGTTGTCCTTGTCTGTATTTGTTCGTGTGTATGAGAGAGGAGGGCTAGGTCATCTGTGAAGTCCAACTAGTAATGAATTACTTTTAATGTGTTGTCACCAATAAAAATCATTTGCACTTAATAAACTCATAACAGATTAATAAACAAATTCAAAACTTTGGATGCTATTCTTTTTTTAACCAAACAGGAAACAAATACTGGCCTACTTCATAGATGGCGTTCACGTAATCGTCAACAATTACAACTGAAAAAAGTCGGTGTCTCCACATTTGATGAAATATTCAAGGTAAATATACTTTTCATCAACTAAATTTGTTTTCTGCTTTCCAAATAAGTCTTTTTGATTGATATATCGATATCAATGAACGTTTACTAGTTGTCAGAAAGAATTATTTGGTTTGAATTATTTTCTCTGGTTAGCGTTTTTTAGCGAGTTAGTTTTCTATGGGATGGGGTCGTTAACCTCATGCTCAACCCTCCTCTTTTATCAGGGCTTGGGATCGTCAGTAACCGCCGTAGGGGCTACAGATGGAGTTAGTTGTCAGAAAGAGTTATCTTTGAGAGTAGTGGAACCAGGATTAACGCTAATGACCATGAGAAGAAGTATTTATTAGTCAACTTAATAACCTTTCAAATTCATTAAAAACATACCTCATTGCCCAATGTTGTTTTAGAGATCAATTAAACTGATAAATACAAACTAAAATGTCACTTTTAGGCGTTTGAAAGCAATCAACAGAAAGTCCTGGATCTAAATGTTACGTTACTTATTGTTTATCTGTATGGTGTGCATACAAACCTGAGGAAACTTATGTTCCCTATGTAACTGAAACCTATATCACTGTCAGAGAAGTAATTAACGAGTTCTTTGTGATTACTCTCAAGAAGGAAGACATATCTTTTTACTAATTAATAACTAGAACAAACATTGACTTTAAAAGTCTCAGTCAACTATTTCAAATCATCTGGATTGGACAGGGAACATTGTGATAAAGAATTAAGTCTTAAGCTACACACTGTTTCAGTTTCATTATGTTTGTCACAATATTAAAAACTGTAACTACAGTTATCAGCACCTACAGATTTTGAACTACTAATCTATCCATTAAACACAAAGACAAAACCTATAAAAATTTTTGGTTAAAACTTAGGGTACATCAGTTTTATACCTCCTCGACGGCAAAATGCTTGTTTCGTCGCCACCTTCTGATCATTTATATCAAAGGCCCTGACTGATCAGTCTACATTGGTATATATGCTTCCAGTATGGGTTTCGCGATATTGATTTTTAACTAAATTTTTTAGTACACTTGTGTTGTGGTTAGAAATGGAATTCATCACGTTAGTTTCGCCATATATGAGACGCGTCAATTGGATCAACCTGGACCCTAGACTGGTTGTTCACACAGAAACTTGAATTCGTTAACTTTAACTCTAAATCACAACATTCTATTTATTATTCTATTGATTCAAGTGAGCCACTAACTCGTTCAAAACATACATAAGGCTATTTGTAATGACATCAAAAATCTACTTTTTCTTTGCTCAAATTTATTACGAGAACAAATTGTATGAAATGAATTTTTAAAGTTTTATGTTTTCTCTCTGAAAAGGTTAGTAGCTCTTACATTTAATAGCTTAGTAGGTACATAGTTTCCGTTTAAAGCATTATGTACTGATTTCAAATCTGAGTATATATATCAACACTGGTATGCAGGTATATCCAGCTGACGAATCTCAGATATGATGAAACGGGGGTGGTTTATTCCACTGATAGCCACAATCTATGTTTACTAACTTTGAAATATTTCACTAACATTTGAGTATGTTTATCTCTGATCTCTTCTTAATTTTAGGCTACTGCAACAACTTTACGTCAAGTATGTGAACTTCGAACATCTGTACTCTCTAGTTTCGATAATTTTAGGCGATTGTGTGGTGAAACATCAACACCATTATCCATGAATCAATGTATTCGAGCGTTGTCTACACGTATTGCAACATCGTTCGGATCACCAGATATGTGGCCTGTACGTATGCGTATTCGACCAGAAGATGAAATGCCTCATTTAGAGATACAAAATTCATTCTCTGGATCTGGGCTAAGTGGTTATCCAAGTTTAAGTACACTCGGTGATCCAATATCTCATCATGGTACACTTGGATCATCATTAACCCGAAATTCTTCATTACGTTTTTCCCCTTCACCTGGATTGCATCGTTCGCCTTCATTAATTCTTTCCCCTCGACTATTTTTAAATAGACGCTTAAAAAGTAGTTCAAAATCAATTGATGAAGATTCAGCATCAGCTTTGTCAATTGATGTTATGGGTTGTCATGGTAATGGTAATAGTAGTACACACAGTGTACAAGAACATTCACCAACTGTTTCAACAAATAACATAGCAAGACGACCAAGTATTCATTCAAGTAGTAGTAGTATTTCTTCTTTTTCCGTTGGACGTTTGGATAAATTGAAAAAAGCGGTCAGTGAGTTTGAAAATGTAAGTTAATTTTAACCTTTTAAATGCCAAAATGTAACAAATGTTGAACTCCTAACAAATAAATTAGTTTAAATTACCATAAATAACACTATTATTAATATTTAAACACATAAATATTGGTACAAGGAAGCACCGGATAAATATACGCCACACAAATCTCATTCGATTCGTATGAGGGCTGTGATAATGCCCAGATGCCCAGACTAAAGCAGGTGGTTTCCTTCAGGAGCCACACCCCGAGCCTTTGACCTGAAGGTCTAGTCCACAAGACAGTGGAGCATCGTGTTGATATGCAGTCCCATGGTAGCTCGGTGACCAAAAATAGGTTCATACGCCATTTATTCCCTCAGGATACTGGAGCCCATGTACACCATTGGTTTGGAATCAGGGTTTTTCAACTCCCCTATGTGAACTTTGCGTGTCCACCAACCCGGTTAAAGCGCCAGACATCCGGTTTTCGTCCTCTCAATTTTGTAAACAACAGTAATGCCACGAGAAGACAGTGAGTGGGACTTCCGTGACAGTGGCTATATACGCGTGGCCATGTGAGAGCATTTGGAGAGGGAGAGCGGACTCTCCTCACTCTCGGTCGTACCATGGCATTCGGGGGCACCATAAATAACAAAAGCATATGATTGTGTGTTTTTTTAATGAAAACAATAGAGATGTTTAGTTGAATTATAGACCTACGAACATGCATGATATTCTTTTCCATGGCTTTACCTCCCATGATTTATATGGTACAATTAGGACGAATTAAAATGACATGGCTCACGCAATTTCACAACTCCATTTTACTGGTAATATAATATGGATATCATTATATATCAGTAGCCTAAACACTCAACGACAGTCACGATCTAGTTGACGACATGACTTACGTCTTTCCAGTAGGACTTTAAGTTATTGACCATGTAGTTAAAGATCTGAAACCAATTAATTATTATTATTCACTTTGATTACATGACAAAAACTCTTGTATGACATGACCTATAAAGCCAAACAAGTCCGGACTGATAGTGGATCCTCATAGATAATATTGAATTATTAGCCAAGTCATATTGGTAAACTGACTTAGGTCAAGGAAAATATGGCCATCCATTCATGAATTATAGTTTCCTAGAGAATACATGTTCAATTGATGACTTCATCGTTCCTGATTTTGAGTACATAAGGGTGTTTGCTATCTTTGATAATTCAAGAAAAAATACGTAGACATTACATAGTAAATATTGGAATTCTTTTACTGTGTTTCCCAGTATTGTGAGAGCTTATAAGAAAATCACACTACTTTCAAGTAAAATAAGTAGTCACATGTCATGAACAGAAGTTTTCCAGCACTAGCTGATTACAAAAATATAACAGCCGTTTGAACAATAAACCAGAATGAATCAGAGTTTAAAATTAAGAAACCTTCGCCTTATTAGGAAGCAGGATAAGATATTGTTTTTAGAACAAATCAAATTATTGCATTTGAAGTTTCTAATCACTAATTGTCTATAATAGAAGTTGAAAGCGTGAGTCAATTGAAGCTAGACCACCATAGAAAACCTAGAAGCACTAGACGGCCGTTTAGTTTTATTGTATTACTCCTCAGCAGTGCGCATCCACGACCCCGCCTCGCAAGATTCGAACCCCAGACCCACCAGTCTCGTACCAGAGCACTTAACCGATAGACCACTGATCTTAACTATATAAAATTACTAAAATCTCCACAAAACCTCTTGTGATTTATACTGTCTTTTAGAAATCTATTGATCGTTGTTACTCATCGTCTTTCCATATACATAAATCCTTTTAAAATACTTTTTTCTAATAAACATATTAGAATAATTTTATTGGTAGTTTATAAACAACATTGAAAATTACAGTATAGAATTAATTACTCAATATTCAACTTGCATTACTGATTTCACCAATGACAGATGGATAATATCCAGTGAACTTATCATCAGATGTTGAAAGATAGTTACACGATGCCGTGAACCGTTTGAAGTTAAACATATAAGCTACTGGATACTTCTTTAATAGTATGAAGTTTAGGTGCATGTCATGAAATCCAAAGGTCCTTCATAAGATATTAGTTGGATAGTGTTAAAAAGTCCAATACTAGAACTAAACAATTATTCGTTATTTCTAGACTTTTAAGTTTTCCATAATTGAAATCAGCCCGTGATACAAATACTTTGTATAGATACGGTTACTGGTTATTTACAACCATTCCAATTCATTTCGTTTATAGTTACTGCCTAAAAGTACATATGAAGAGAACACTTGGAAATTGAACTCAATGTAATTGGACACTAAACAGACAAAATATTTACCTTTTCAATTATTTACTTTGTATGTTCCCAAATGCTCTGGTACGGCCGAGTGTGAGGAGAGTCCGCTCTCCCTCTCCAAATGCTCTCACATGGCCACGCGTATATAGCCACTGCCACGGAAGTCCTACTCACTGTCTTCTCACACCACGGGTGTTGTTTACGAAATTAAGAGGACGAAAACCGGATGTCTGGTGCTTTAACCAGGTTGGTGGACACGCAAAGTTCACATAGGGGAGTTGAAAAACCCTGATTCCAAACCAATGGTGTACATGGGCTCCAGTATCCTGAGGGAATAAATGGCGTATGAACCTATTTTTGGTCACCGGGCTACCATGGGACTGCATATCAACACGATGCTCCACTGTCTTGTGGACTAGACCTTCAGGTCAAAGGCTCGGGGTGTGGCTCCTGAAGGAAACCACCTGCTTTAGTCTGGGCATCTGGGCATTATCATAGCCCTCATACGAATCGAATGAGATTTGTGTGGCGCATATGTATCTGGTGTCCCTTTGTACCAATATTTATGTGTTCAAATAAATAAAATAAATTTACTTTGTATAGTTCATCTTTGTTTCAAACATCTTTTGTTTCTCTTCTGTTTTAGCTTATTGAATCATGTAAAACACTGATTAAACAAGGACCATATCTTCGAGTAAAAGTATGTTATTTTATGTTCTTGATTTTAACTAGTATTTATTAAACTTAGTTTCTAGTACAAAGTGAGATCTACTAGAGAAGTGGTTAGAAAATCGAAGAAAAACTAGGTACAGATTTCAGCCTAAATTAGGCCTCTTCAGTAATCTATATCTACGATCTTACCAGTGATCAAGTATAGGACTTTCAGGCCTAGAGGCGGGTATTCAATTTTTAAACTACTGAGTAGATATCTAATACTTCATTTTTTAACATTATTAAATGCGCTATGTAAATGATAAGTTCAACAGTTTGTAAGTCGTATTGGACACAAACTAATTCCAGTCGACATGTAGTGAATAAGAAGACAAATGGTAACAATCGGATGTATTTGACACGAAATTACAGAATATCTCAGTAAAATCTGACAATCATACAGTGAACAGTTAATTTGCAAACTATCAATCAATCGTCTAAATCTTGACCATTATTTCTTCAAATATCAGTTCATCGTTTCCGATTTTAGTGTTCATGCATTATTATACCAATTGCGTTTCGTTCCCGTACTTTCTTTATCGATTTTCTACTGAAATACATTCTATGCCTGACTATCGTCATACACCACTTATGTAGATGTAAATAATCCACACCACAGAGATACCATTAAAAACCAGGAAGCAATATACAGTACGAGACTACTCAACAAGGAGTACCTATGAGTTTACCGAGGATCGAATTGAAGATCATCAAGTCTAGTAGAGAATTAATCAGCATTGAAACAAATCTGATTATTTCTAGTAAGTATCGGAACTACTACTTCATACCATATTGTTTTAAGACTGATTTATGTATAAATGCTGGAAGGTAAACTATGCAACCGGTGGTTTATGTTATAATAATAATAAATGCTTTCTTCAACTGAATATTTTGCATCTTTTTCCTTTATTACATCATTTCTAGCTACAACAAACTCAAAGAACTGCCTTAGATGCATATACAACTTTTCTAGAAGGTTTAAAAGCTCCATCATCTCATGCTACTGCCATTTCAAAATTGACATCATCAGCGACAGCAGCCACTACATCATTGAGGAGTTCAATATCTCATGGAAATGAAACACGTTTTGGTAGTTTAACATCAGAAATTAGCCGACGTGTAACTTCACATATTAGTGAAGATAATTCAGATAATCGTAATAAAACAACTACTACTGGTACGTCAATATATTGGCGACGTATGTCACGTGTAGCTGATAATGTCACCTGGAATCTACGTTTATTAACAGGACAAACTGAATTAATGACATTATTATTAAATGAATCAAATGAATGGATAAAACAAGCAAAAGAATCTAGTCAATCTACTGGTCTTTTAATTAAATTAGATACATCTAGTATAACTGATTCACATTCTTCACCAACTTCATCAGATAAAGATCAATTAACTAATGAATTGAATATAGAAGTTCCTTTAACTACTAATAAGCCATTAATCTCAGATCATATCATACAAGATCATCAAACTTCATTAAACCGATCACTGAACATAACATCGAATGAAATATCAAACAATCTAAATAGTACAAATCAAATAGATCATAATATAACATCAAAAAGTCCATTATCACCTTTATTAGAAATACCTCGTTCAAATCAAGTGTTGAATACACTTGAACCATCTAATCTCAGCACATTTAAAACCTATACCACACCAAATAGATCATTAATAAGATCAAATGTCAAAAATCTTAATTCATATAAAGTTTCCACAGATATTAAACAAAATATGATATCAAATGAAACAACAATAACTACCACTACTACTACTACTACTAACATTCATACTACTCATTTCAGTAATGTGAACAGTAGTATAAAAACTATGACTACAACAACAAATACAAAATTATTACCAACTAGTAATATTATCAATTCATCAGGTAATTTATCAAAAATTAGAAATCGTTTTAATCAAGCATGGAAGAAATGAACATTGTTAATAAGATGATTATATAATGAACTATATTCAATGAACAGAATTACCCTTTTATAAATATGCATACATATATATATATATACTACTCATAAGTAGATTGCCTACAAGAGCAGAGTGAACAAACTTATATAATCTATATATACATATACTAATTTGTGATATTAGCATAATAAGAGTATATTCAAATTGTATGAAAGCAATTTGTTAAACTCCAATATACATTTTTATATATATAATCCAGATGAATGGTCTTTACTTTTCTTCATATAATAAATATTAGACTAACGGATTAATGTCTTATCTTTCCTCATTATCTAACCCAACCCTATGCATGAAATATTGAGTAACCATAGCAAAAACAACAATAATGTAAACTTTATATCAAGATTGTATGGAGAAAAAAGGAACAAGAAAGGAGAAATATTTATTCTGTAGTATATACATATATACATAATAGATTAGTAACTGCAATTTCTGGATCAAAAACGTACATGTGAATAAATACAAACAAACAGATACATCTACGTACCAAAAGTTCTTGTCAGATTTTATGCATTTTTTAAAGTAAAGAAAAATTGAATTACATTCTGGTATTGGTCAGATTTGTTTTTTTTTTCTTTTCTTACTAAGTATAAGTATCATTTCTACAACTCCTACGGCTACTACTACCACTACTACTACTTCCGATTATGACTTTACTTTCATCTTTTCGTTTTGTTCTTTTTTTTTACTTCTCCACAATTTCTTTGTTCAAAAATGAAATACTACTAACTACTAATTATCCATTATCAAGTTTGTATTTATTTTTGTTTTCTTCTTCTTTTCCTTCATAATTAAATGATTAAGAATATGGTTAAATTAACCATTTATTACAAATACAAAATATACTGTAAACATATTTTATTGTAACTAATAATATTACGTGTTTAATTTCATACTACTAATAAATAATATAAGTAGTAAAAATAATCAACTTAAATAAAAATCATGTAAAGACAACAGAATAGATGAAGATTTAAATCAGAGGAAATTTACTTATTTATTTGTATTTTAAATCATAAATTAATTACATTGAATGAATTAATGTATGTGTTAAAGCTGTAAAAAAAATAATAAACAAAATCTTATCCAAAATTATTACCTCATATTATGATTGCTTGTTAACTTATGTATTTTGAAGAGGGAGGGTGAGGTGTAGTCAGTCAGTCAGTCACAACGTAAAACATCGTACGTACGTACATACATCAGTTCGAGCTCCTATACCACATTAGCACAGAGATTCAGTTGTCAATTCAAATCCCATAGTAGTAGAAGTAATAAGCGTATAAGCAGTAATGTGAAAGATTAGGGTTTGAAAATGTTATTGAAGGAGTATAATGTAGTGAAATAAATTTGGAAAAAGAAAAAGGACGGGGAATTCAGAAGATTAAAACTTGGCAGAACAAAAAGAGTGAATGCACCTCCGCCATTGCAAACGATTTTGAGTGGGGGAGGTGTAGAGGAGAGGATGAAGATTGTAAGCATATTTTAACAAAAATATATATATAAAAGAAACTTTAGATTTTTTTTAAAAAAAAGTGATTTTTTCTTCAAATTCATTTGGTATTGGTTGTCTAAATCTTTCTATTGATGTTTAGGATTGCAATTTATCAGTCTCTTATTGATATATGTGCATCCTGTACGGATTGCCTTAATTCGCTAGCATTATAAGCAAAAATATTTTGGTAGGTATCAGTGGAACCCAGGATGTGCGTTTCATCCTATTTCGAACTCATCAGCTGGATTTACCTGATGTTTTTCTTCTACCAATAATTCAACAAGACAGATTTGGGTTTGTACTAATGATACTTGACATATTGTAGTTTAGATAGAAAATTTTAAGACTCCGATCAGTTGAATGTTTAAGTGTATGAACATTTAACGTTGTTATGATTTTAAGAAAGGGCCGTATGCCAATTCGTTACGATTTTATGTTCGGCTTTTATCACCTGATTTATCCACCAATCGGAATACGACTTGTCTAATCTTAATCTTGCGCCAAATCAATGACGTTCAACTGGTATGAGCAGTCTAGTGTCCTTATTGGTCCTTTGTCCGCCTAGCCCTTCCAATTGAGTTCAGAACACCAATTACAGCTTCTGCTATGCGAATCATTTATTTCAAGCATACTCGGTTGTTATGCTTGTGGCCGAGTGGATGCCTAGTTAATGGGTGACTTGATGAGACCGCCAATTAGGGAGCAGCGAATTATCGACTGGAACAGTGACACGAAACCCGTACGAGCAGACTAGAGTGCTAACCGGTCCTGCGATCTGCCTAGCCCAGCCAGTTAAGTCCAAAACTCCAATAACAGCCTCAGTGGTATGAATCATTATTTACAAACATACTGGGTTTTTATACAAACCAAAGTAATCAATAAACTGATTATAACTCAATAATCTTACTTACTTACTTACTTACGCCTGTTACCCCTCGTCGAGGAGCATAGGCCGCTCACCAGCATTCTCCATCCAACTCTGTCCTGAGCCTTCCTTTCCAGTTCTTTCCAGTTACTATTCAGCCTTTTCATATCGGCTTCTATTTCCCGGCGTAGTGTGTTCTTTGGCCTTCCTCTTTTCCGCTTTCCTTCCGGATTCCAAGTTAGGGATTGAGTCGTGATGCACATTGGTGATTTCCTTAATGTATGTCCGATCCACTTCCAACGTCTTTTCCTAATTTCCTCTTCAGCTGGAAGCTGGTTTGTCCTCTCCCATAGAACGCTGTTGCTGATAGTATCCGGCCAGTGGATGTTGAGTATTTTGCGTAGACAACTGTTTATAAATACTTGTACCTTCCTGAAGATGGCCGTAGTAGTTCTCCACGTTTCAGCTCCATACAGTAGGACTGTCTTGACGTTCGTATTAAAGATTCTCACCTTGAAATTGGTTGAGAGTTGTTTTGAGTTCCATATGTTCTTCAGTTGTAGAAATGCTGCCCTTGCTTTGCCAATCCTCGCCTTTACATCTGCATCCGATCCTCCTTGTTTATCAACGATGCTCCCCAGGTACTTGAATGTTTCCACCTCTTCCAGAGTTTCGCCGTCAAGTGTGATTGGGTTGGTGTTCTCCGTGTTGCATTTGAGAATCTTGCTTTTTCCTTTGTGAATGTGGAGACCTATCGATGCGGAGGCAACTCAATAATCGTATGATCATAAATCAAAGATCAAAATAAAGCTCATGATAAGAGAAACACGAATATGAATAGTTTAGTTACGTAACAATTGTACAATAGGAAATAGGCATAATACATTGGTCGATAAAGAGACCTAAAAGTTAACATTCGTAATTCACCGGGGGATATAACATCGGTCTATATACCAGACAGACAGACCGCATCACACCATAAAATAGAAAATAATATTTATACAAGGTCAAGCCAAATGTGGCTGTGAACGTGGGATACAATAATCGATAAACTGAATATAATTTAGGGACAGTAAATCGTATAATAATAACTCATAGGTCAAAATGAAGCTTATAATAAGATGAATATAGATATACATAATCTAATTACTCTATAGTTAAACGACAAGAATATATAGACAGAGAGAGAATAATCGTCCACTAGTAGGTCCCGGAAGTTACCCGTACTTCACTAGGATATAACAAAACTTAAAGCGGTATAGATTTTATTCATTCCCCATCCACCTAGTGAAGATGTCCAGTAAATACTATTGGTCATTTGCATATCCTGAATTTTCAATACTGATGAACTAGATTTTCTAAGCAAATTTATCAACGTTAACTTGTCGTATAAACAGCTTATTTGTACATAAGGCAATTATTCCACACATACGTATATACATGACGAAAATCAGTGTTTATTCAACGAATGGTTAATTAGTTAATTCTTGAAGTTGACTTAATCATTTAATGATAAATATGCAAAGCAGGTTTATAAACAGTTAGTTATCAGAGTTACCAAATAAAGACCAAGTGAACGTAAAATATTCGACAAGACTGTCAACCTCTATCCACCGACAAGAATGAACCGAATTTAATGGCAGTACAATTATTAAATCGCCATTTCCACCGACTAAAACATCACTGGAAGTATTTAGAAGCCACGCTATTCAGTTGCCTTATCGTTTCCTGTAATCATATACATATACGATTTCCTCACATCTAGTTCATTATCAAATATTCGCACAGTAATACGGCGATCAGAAATTATGACGAACTTATTATCACCAACACAGATGGTCGACCATCATCCTGACCTTTCATCATGTTACAACCTTCATGATTTCCACTGAAACGCCTATTCTAGTGTGTAACCTCCATAGACACCTCTCAATATTTGATCAACTTCCTACATTTTTCACTAAAAGCACTTAGTAGTTCAGTTCATACAGTTGTTGTTCATAATAGTATACCACTTCTTTTTGTAAACATATCGCGAATGTTAAAAAAAACCAAAACTTAATTGAGTTGTGCACATTAGTGTTTCAGTGGAGAGGCGTATCTTGAGTATACTTAGACAATTACGTAACAAGCGTCGACAATAATCAATCATTTTTAAAAATCGACAGGCCGAACTCCGAGTAATTTGAAAAAATTAAAACAGCTAACCTTCATCTGAAAATCAACTACACATTGTCTAGAAAAACGATAAGAGTTCCAGAATTGATCTACTCGGCTCAGAGAACGCAACTCTATTAATATTGCCTTCTTGAGATAAACGTTTCTTTCTCCATCTCAAAATATGTAAACGCATAAACGGAGATGGATGGTGTCTAGTAGCGAAGCACGTTTAGTCCTATTTGGGACTCGTCAGTTAGATGTAACTGCATCCCAGAGTCGATGTTCACTCAGGAACTCGGACCCAGTGGGAAGACTTAAACAACCAACAAAAATTATTCAAACTTTACATCACTGCACAAACTAGTGGGTATCTGGACTCAGTCGCAAAGTGGATAACGCGATGTCTAGAGTGAACAGGCGATCCGCATATGGGTACACATATACCAAAAAGACTGATCAACTGCAGTACTAAACATCAATAGGAAGACTCAAACAACTAATGCAAATCAATAGACATAAACGTCTGTTATAATTCCACTGTTTCATACATATAGTTTATTGGGATACAAGTACAACGCTTGCTGAGAAGTTCTGCCTTGAAATGCGGCCATAGTTGGTAAAGGATAACGTTGGGACAAAGCTAGGGTCAGATATACTAAGAAATGACACTAATTCATCAAGTCACTAACTGATGAAATTAGTTATCAATTCAGCATAATTAATAGTGAGGTTAACCTTTCTCTGACATGGTGACTATGATTGTAATCGAATAACCCTTTTAATTTTTCACGCTTATATAGCTTTATTAATGTTCAAACAGTGATAAGATTTGAGTTACAACTATAGAATAATTTACTAATCTGACTATTAGCAACCGTAACACCACTACCCCTTTATTCTGGATTCTTATCATTAATTCTAGCATATAACTACCAATCAATCTTAACCATCAAAAACACAAGTTCAGTGAAGAAATATCTATCTCTAATTAGTTCTTTATCAAAGCTTTACACTAATCCATAAGTTTTGTAGTTGAAAATAAAATCAGTACCAAACGAATGGTTGTTGTTCAGTCTAATATACTGAAGACAATGGTGGATGTGTCGCTCAAATTCGTGGATTAGTTGAAGTTAGACATTAACACCGTTGGATGCCAGCTCAGTGGTCTAGGGGTTTAGCGTTCGCGTGCGAGACCGATGGGTTCTGGGTTCGAATCTTGCGAGGAGGGATCGTGGATCCGCACTGCTGAGGAGTACCACGGTCATCTAGTGCTTTCAGGTTTTTCATGATGGTCTAGCTTCAATTGACTCATGATTTCAACTATTAAAATAACAATATTCTCTTTAAAACAGTACAGTTAGAAGATCAGCAGGAGTAAAAGATGTAACAGATTTAAAGACAAGGTTATGTAATCGGTTGATGAAAAAGAAATCCAATCGGATACAAAAAAGAAAGGGTCACAAACACAGACACACACACAAAATACACTATGTAACAATTTAGTACTATGTCCATGGCAAAAAATTAGGATGTAAAATAC